CAGAGATCAAGAAAACATCATCAGAACACAGGAGCAATGTTCCTTTTGCATTTACATTTTGATGTCATCTTATTAGCGGTTTGTCACTTTATCATCATCAGAGTCATAGGTTGTGTTGTGGTAGCAGAAATTCAAAGATAGGCTATACATAGTGTTTAGTGAGCTCTGCCTCTCCTTATCCATTAAAAAACACAAATCTCATCTGAATAGCACTGATACTGAGAATGATGATGACGGGAATGATATAATAATCAAAATCAAAATGACAGAATCTGTCTGTTTCTGCTGCTCACCAGCTCTCTCCAGCATATGGCTGAAGGTTGTTGACAGTATTTGCTGCCGGCTGTCAGCGTAATTTCAGCAATTTTCCAAGAATCCTGGAAATTGCATATTAGCCGAGCTCAATACCCTCGCTCTTTGCAACAAATGATGTTGATACTGAGCCTCCGAATACCTGAGCCTTTTCCCTTATAATGGTGTGGAAACTGTGTACATGTTTCCCTTTCTAATCATAACAACAACATTCATGTCCATATTATCATAATCACAGTTTGTGTGCACATCCTGCACTCAGGCTGTTTAGTGTTTTCTTTTTTAGCTGACGCAATTCATCTCCTTGACATAATTATTCCACCCGCAGTCTCTTGATCATCATGATGAAGGAAACAGCGAGGTGAGAAGTGAATGAGGAGAGAGGACCTGCAGGAGGAGAGAGAGCTGTGTGCATTCATGTGCTGCTTGTGAACTGAATTAATACGGCTGGTGTATCTCCGTGTGTGAAACAGGGGAAAGGGGGGATACAAGAGAGTTGTTTTGGTGAACACACAGACTTAAGGTAAAAGTTTGCCATATTCAGAAATAAGCTTATTCACCTTCTTGTTAACAATGAGATAAAATCAATACCACTCTCATGCCTGTACACTAAACAAGACGCTACAGCCAGTAGCTGGTTAGCTTAGCACAAAGACCAGAAGTAGGGGAAACACTGACCAAATTCGCCTACCAGCACCTCAAAAACTCATTAATTAACATGTTGTGTCTTATTTCTTTATTCCATACCAAAGTATCAAAAATAACAAAGTCTTCCAAACTAAATGACAAAATAGGTAGTTTGTCATTGCCTCCCAGAAGGACACATATGAGCAATTCCCGTAACAGGCCAGCAACAGGCAACTGGTCCTATAATACAGTGGTTCTCAAAGTGGGGTACGGGGACCCCCAGGGGTCCTTGAGAGGGTTTCAGGGGGTCCCCAGCAAAAAGGGGAATAGTTGATTTTCATTATAATTCCATCCATAAGTAACACAAAGACAGCATGTGTGACTATTTTGGTCATTTCATACATTTTCTGTAATTAATTCAATTCAATTCACTTCAATTTTATTTATATAGCGCCAAATCAAAACAACAGTTATCTCACAGCGCTTTTCATAAAAGAGCAAGTCTAGACCGTACTCTATGATGCTATTTACAGAAGCCCAACAGTTCCCACCAAGAGCAAGCACTAGGCGACAGAGGCAAGGAAGTTTTTCCTTGCCTCTGTCGCCTAATTAAAAATTAAAAAGCAAAAATGCAACCAGATGTGGGACCTTTAGACAAAATCTTATCAAATGGGGGTCCGTGGTCTAATACGCGTCAGTTTAGGGGTCCTTGATATTAAAAGGTTTGAGAACCACTGCACAATATATGCTGTTATAATACGTCACCGGACTTCCTCCTTTGCTCCCTTCGTATGGCCACCAGAGGTCGCTACCACAATTAACATAAATAAGGGTCGTAATACAAATTATCTACAGTATATAGTAATTTTTCGCTGAGGGCAGGGTGGTAAAAAAGACTTCCTGTTGACCAAGACTATTTCTTTGCTGGGACCCAAGGGCGGATAATTTTGTTGGGGCTTTATTTGTAAAAATATCCAGCGACTTCTGAATTGTCCCTAGCAATAATTTTGATCCTAAAATTATAATATAAGCTCTGTTGTCCGTCAGTGTTTAGTCAGTGTTCTTCACACACAAAACAGCTCTCATTCTGTCGGAGTCCAATACATTTTTAAATTTTGAAAGATTACATCTTGGGCGGCTGTGGCTCAGAGTTTAGCCTTTCTATTTGAAAGAATAGAACGAATAGAAAGGCTATACAAGTCCAGACCATTTACCATGTGCTTCCCCCTCATATGCCTCACAGTGGTTTGGTCCACTGCCTAAATCTAGTCTATTAGAAATATACTAAATTCTATAGTCTATTTTATCGTTGGCTAATTTATTCCCAGTTGCACTTTATTGGAGGTGGTGAAGTGGGTTCTGTGTCTGACAGTCTTAAGGGGCTATTACCATAATAGCAGAAACGTGATCAGAAAACCTGCTGAACTGGGATGATAAAAAGCTATCTACAGGAGAATTTGAAAGTAATACAGAAAATGAAGTAAATAAAGTGTTTAAAGCTCATAATTTTCTGGGAGGGACCTCCAGACCACCGCTTGATATGTGTTCCTACAATGTTGAAACAAAACCTATGCCCTTGTCAGCACCATTTAACATCTGGAGTATACACTGCTTTGCTGTCAACTGGCCAAGAAATAATATCAGTCTTCTCATCTACAGGTGCTGGTCATATAATTAGAATATCATAAAAAAGTTGATTTATTTCAGTAATTCCACTCAAAAAGTGAAACTTGGATATTATATTCATTCATTACACACAGACTGATATATTTCAAATGTTTATTTCATTTAATTGTGATGATTAAAACTGACAACTAATGAAAATCCCAAATTCAGTATCTCCGAAAATTTTAATATTACTTAAGACCAATACAAAAAAAGGATTTTTAGAAATGTTGGCCAACTAAAAAGCATGAGCATGAAAAGTATGAGCATGTACGGCACTCAATACTTAATTGGGGCTTCTTTTGCCTGAATTACTGCAGCAATGCGGCGTGGCATGGAGTCGATCAGTCTGTGGCCCTGCTCAAGTGTTATGAGAGCCCAGGTTGCTCTGATAGTGGCCTTCAGCTCTTCTGCATTGTTGGGTCTGGCGTATCGCATCTTCCTCTTCACAATACCCCATAGATTTTCTATAGGGTTAAGGTCAGGCGAGTTTGCTGGCCAATTAAGAACAGGGATACCATGGTCCTTAAACCAGGTACTGGTAGCTTTGGCACTGTGTGCAGGTGCCAAGTCCTGTTGGAAAATTAAATCTGCATCTCCATAAAGCTGGTCAGCAGCAGGAAGCATGAAGTGCTCTAAAACTTCCTGGTAGACGGCTACGTTGACCTTGGACCTCAGAAAACACAGTGGACCAACACCAGCAGATGACATGGCACCCCAAACCATCAGTGACTGTGGAAACTTTACACTGGACTTCAAGCAACGTGGATTCTGTGCCTCTCCTCTCTTCCTCTAGACTCTGGGACCTTGATTTCCAAAGGAAATGCAAAATTTACTTTCATCAGAGAACATAACTTTGGACCACTCAGCAGCAGTCCAGTCCTTTTTGTCTTTAGCTCAGGTGAGTCACTTCTGACGCCGTGTCCTGACACAAGGAATGCGACAGCTGAAACCCATGTCTTGCATACGTCTGTGCGTGGTGGTTCTTGAAGCACTGACTCCAGCTGCAGTCCACTCTTTGTGAATCTCCCCACATTTTTGAATGGGTTTTGTTTCACAATCCTCTCCAGGGTGCGGTTATCCTATTGCTTGGACACTTTTTTCTACCACATCTTTTCCTTCCTTTCACCTCTCTATTAATGTGTTTGGACACAGAGCTCTGTGAACAGCCAGCCTCTTTAGCAATGACCTTTTGTGTCTTGCCCTCCTTGTGCAAGGTGTCAATGGTCGTCTTTTGGACAGCTGTCAAGTCAGCAGTCTTCCCCATGATTGTGTAGCCTACAGAACTAGACTGAGAGACCATTTAAAGGCCTTTGCAGGTGTTTTGAGTTAATTAGCTGATTAGAGTGTGGCACCAATTTTCTGAGATACTGATTTTGGGGTTTTCATTAGTTGTCAGTTATAATCATCAAAATGAAAAGGAATGAACTCTTGAAATATATCAGTCAGTGTGGAATGAATGTATAATTTATACAAGTTTCACTGGTTGAATGGAATTACTGAAATAAATCAACTTTTTGATGATATTCTAATTATATGACCAGCACCTGTATATAGCACATTTCACACTATCTGTCACATCACATTCACACTGACAGCAGAGGCTTTCATGCAAGGCTCCAACTGCTCATCAGAAACAGAAAACGAATACATTTAATCACACGGCCATCAGAAACAATTTGGGGTTCAGTATGCCTAAGGACACATCAACATGCAAACAGGAGGAGGTGGGAATCAAACACCAACCTTCTGATTAGTGGATGACCCTTTCTGACTCCTAAGCCACAGCCACACCATGACATCAACAGATTAAAACAAATTTCCAGTAGGATTTCAAGCTATAACTGTACAAACTGAGCTCCTGGCATGTTCCCTGTGAAGTTTCTGACCTAGTAAATAAACTATTTTCAAATAGCACCTTTCACAGACAAGAGCGTTCACAAAGTGCTTTACAGTAAAAAATCAACTAGAAACAAATAAAATAACAACAGTAAATAAACCATAAAATACAAAACCTAATTGCTAATTAAAACCTCGTCCACTAGTCGACCTCTAGTAGGGCTATGGAGCTATTTTTCCCTATGAGTGGGTCCTAATTTAGCTGTGCACGTTGGGTAACGCGTTACACATTCCTGCAAATAGTTTCACACTATACACTTGATCTACATGCCAAGACCACAGACCGTTTGTGACGTACCCCATAGGTTTCTGAAGAGTTTTGAAGCTCAACTTGGGCGGCTCCCGGTGGCTCTGGTCGTCACCATCTTAGCAGTGCCAGTCTCCAGCTAATCCAAAAATGGGCAAAGAGGTGGAGCAGAGTATAATCATCTTTGGAGACAAAATTTGCATTTCAAATGCAATGTATCCTTCTGTCAGCACAAAATTCCGCACAGAAATCAGTAGACAAATTCAGCTTTATTGACAAGAACAGTAGTGCTGATACAAGGCAGGAGCTAGGGGGAAGCTCAAAACAGTGCATAAATCAGATACAAAAAACCATCAGAGTAGCTTTTAACTGGATTTCCAGTCTGGATAATCCATGTAGTTGTTCCTTTAAAAGATGGAATAAAAAGTTTAGTTAAAATGGAATAGACTGAAGCCCCCTCCTGATGAGAGCCTAACATGTAAACTGAGATTTTCTGTTTTTGTTTATTTTAAATTTACTTCATATACAGTACAAAACATGCATCCCATGTTATTCCACAACTACCAGTCTTACAATGTACACCGATTGCACAAAATCAAATTGAAATCATAATTGAAAGAAACAATACACAAACTGTATACATCCGTCACAGACGCTACACGCAAGACATACTTGGCTATTCCTATTTCTCCAACACCAAAAAAAACGTCTTTTCAAGCTACCATTAATTTATACACCAAATAGTACTGTCCCTCTGACTACTGGGCTATTTTCAAAACAGCCTGAGGTAAGCTTTAGCACATGAGACACAGCTCAATTTCAAAGGCTAAATTTTTTTAATAAAATGTGATATAATGCCATAAATCCTTGAACATCAACTGTCACAAACACAAAAGAAATGTTTATAAAGAGGTCAATGTTGCTTCTTGTTCCTTCAATTTTTGTTGTAAACAAATTCAGCAACAAAAGTGCCCAAGTACTTCTGATCCCTTTAGCTGACCAAATTTCTCTTAATCCAATTATTGACAGCTTCAACCATTAAGTAGTGCAACACAAATCCAACAAATGCAATGATCACAATGAGAGAGAAAAAAAAAAAATAGGTAAAAACCCTAAAGGCAAGAAAGGGCAAAAAGACCACTCAGTGTTCCCTTTTCTGCTTTCGGCCAATGTCTACCTCGTCCAGCCCCGTGGCCGATCTGGACTGCTGCATTTCTCGGAGCTGAGCGTGTGTTAGAGGCGGCTGCTTCTTCAGCTTCAATAGGTGAGCGTCAATGGGGTCGAGTTCGGGCTCAGACACGGGGACAGGCAGGTAGCCGCCGTCCCTCGGCAGGCACATACACCAGCCGGCGCCGGCCAGGTCCAGCTCGCTATACTCAATCTCAGACTTCTTCAGCTTGAAGTCTACCATGTCGGCCGACTCGCTCATGTCCACCAGCAGGTTCCAGAAGACGCAGCTCAGGATGATGCCCAGCAGCTGCAGGGAGACATGGGACCTTTTTTATATAAATGCTCTCAATGTGCGTAAGGGTTTGAAAAAACTTAATGTCAATGTGAATCACATGAACTGCAGATAACATCTATTCATTCAGTTATTATTTTAGTGTGAGAATGCCAAAAAACAAAATTGATAAATGACTTAAATGATTTATCAATTATCACCAACTCATTCATCATTTCAGTCCCGGGCCTTAGATCACTCAGCCACCAAGGCAGTATGTGCAGGGAAAAGTTACTATTACTGGTACTGATTCCAAGAAGTGTAAATGCTTCATTGCACAGTTTTTATCATTCACGTGTTCACCGTATGTATGTGTTTATTATAGGTGATACATGGGATTTACTACAGGGCTTAAAGTTTATAAATGTTGTTATCCCGAAGGTTTCTCCATCTTGTCTTTGTAATCTTGTTACCATGTTTTGTCAAGCAGGGCACTATGTTATGAGACCAAATGGATCAACCGATCAATCTCCAATTTGTTGTGTGAACAGAATTATGACATTGAAGTAAGAGGAAAATCTGTTGATCGTGTGAGCTAAAGTCATTACTTTATTGGTTTTAGACCTTTATATTATGCGGGTGGCTCTTGTTTGTAGAGGAACATTGAGGATGTCGTTTAAGGTAACATCTGAAATAGGAATACAGAATGTAGAAAAACACTGTTTACAGTGGTGTGTCATCCAACCATTTCCAATAACTTCAGCGCGTTGTAAAGTAAAATTTTATTGAAAAAAGAACAATGTAATCAAATTCTCAACACATTTTTATATAGCAGAATATTCTGCTTCAATGTATACTTGTTGGCGTTTAGCCTTTCGAAAAACAACATTTTCACATTCCTCCCTTTTGCTGCAAAGGGAGGCACGCAGCTGTATTAACAGCGTGATCTAGCAGCAGTGAAAACAGTTCTGTAAATAACATTAATATGAACATAAGCTGAAAATCTATTCTGGCTCAAGTAGTGACATTGTTACCTAGGTTACCACAGGTTAGCCACAGCTATTAAACACATCAGCAGGATAGAATAAGTGGAGAGGTCCCGTGGATCGTCCATCTTAATGGATCGGAATCAGCCAAAATAAAGTAGACCTTTCTTCACTGAACTTTACTGTGCTGTTGTTGCAGCACCGCTCTCCTTAATGACTGCCAGGCTCTACAATAGGGATGAAACAGTGCTGAGGGAAACTTGATTGATGAAAATCGCTTTATAGTGAATGAAGGGTAACTTTTAGCTTTTTTAACTTTTAGCTTAATGCATGATGTGCGGACTTCAGAATGAGGGAAAATGTGATGGTTTGTCTGTCTGTGTATATACATACATATATACATATACATATATACACATATACACATATACACACACACACACACACACACACATATATACACACACACACACACACACACACACACATATATACACATACATACACATACATACATACACACATACATACACACACACACACACACACACACACATACATTATATATATATATATATATATATATATATATATAGTCACACCACTGCTTGTGTATAGAAATATTTATTTACAGGATCAATGCACAGAGCGTGTATCACGAGGCGAGTTCAACATACCGAGGATATCTTTACGTTATCTGGCTTCACTAACCCTAACAATTACCATCGGGATAAGCGGCACCACGAAGCTGGTTATCAACTCCTTACGTAAACCCAGGGTTTCCCAATCCAGCCGTGAGTGCGTTCACATAAAAGAGGCAGTGTTAGCGGCAGATGACCAATCACAGACATGAACAAGCCTACTGGCATCAGAGAGTCATATTTTACAAAGAGCAAATTGTAACATTACAGAAATAGGACATGGTCTATGTAACACAGCTGCAGTTGACACGTGCAGTGTGAATGCCTAAATTAACAGGCGTAGTCTATAATAATGCGTTGATCTGATGTGTTCTTATGGAGTCTATGAAAATATTCTTTCAGCTCGGCTGTGTGTCTCCTTATCACCACAGCAAACATAAAAGCAGCCTATGAAACAGTCTGTGGGATTTCCTACAGATGGGGATGTTATTTCCAAGAGAGCTGATTGGTCAGTAGGCGCCGTTTTTATAGAGTTGATCTCTAATCTGGAACCTGCTCCGGAGCAGGTTAGCCGTTCAGCATAAGTTACCATGGCGATCGACCCCGGTCAGAAGTGAACCACCGTCGTGGTACTGAAAACCCGGGGTTAACCCCGAAGTCACCTGAATAAGCTCAAATCCTGCTTCGTGGTACAGGCCCCTGACCCAGGAGTACTCAAGCAACAGCAATTCAAAGGAACTGCAAGACATGTCTGTTAATCAAGTTAGGATGAGGACTGACAGAAAGCAGTAGTGTGAGGACACTATTAACTGCAGAGAGTAGGTGTTTTTAATTGAACATCATTTCTTGCAGATTGTATGAACTATAATTTATACTGTGTGCACAATTATTAGGCAAGTGAGTATTTTGACCATATCATTTTTATTATATTTTCAAAACTCCAAACTGTAAAGATGAATGCTTATTGGATTTAAGCATTTAAGGTGATGTGTATTTGTGTAATGAGGGAGGGTGTGCCCTAAGGAGATCAACACCCTACATCAAGGTCTTCTCCATGAGATTTTTGTGCTCTAGTTGATTATTAGCGAACATCTGATTGAAGTTTAGTTATTCAGAGTGTTGCATCCTTCTGAAAGGCATTTTACAATTTCTGACTTTTCAATGTCAGTTTTGACCCATTTTGTCTGAGGAAAAGAAGCTGCCTAATAATTATGTACACCTTGACATAGGGTGATCTCCTTAGGCCACACCCTCTCTCTTTCCACACGTACACATCAGCTTGGAGTTATAAAGTATTCATAAAAATGATGATACGGTCAAAATACTTACTTGCCTAAAAATTGTGCGCTCAGTGTATACTGGATAGGTGACGCTAGGAACACTGCTGTGTACGTAGCTGTTTTAGAAAATAATAAAGATAAGCAATTATTGTAATCACTCCACTCTGAATGGGGCTGTGACGAGTTTAAATGGATGCATGGGAAGATTTTTGGATAATTTAATGTGTTGGAGACAAATTCAGATTTTCCAAAAGCTATAAAGTAATGAAACTGTCAAAAAATTAACCAAGCAAGTTTTTTGAAAACTTAAACATGAACTTACACTATTAAGTATCCTGGCTGTGCTAAATCAGTTTTTTGCAGCATAGAAAGTATGAATTATTTGCCAGGCCTTCTTGTTGGGAGGAAAATTAAAATGTGAAGTGTAGTTTACAGTTCAATTTTAAGTTGGAGAGATGCATTTGGTTGGAAAGAGGGCTTCAAACCCAGTTCAGTTTCAGTGAGTCGGTGCTCTGACTTTTAAATTACCTGGGGCAGCCCGATGGCACAGCAGAGTGCAATGGTTATTCCAATGTTGTCACTCATCCAGAGGTTGACTGCATGGATGCAGCCTCGCACATGGATCACCTCATGCAGGGTTTCACGCTGATACACAGACCAGAGGAAGACAACAAGAGGAAAGTTTTTTTTAACCTCAAACTGAACAGCCATTTCCACTCAACACTCCAAGGTTGTCACAAACAGTAGTTTGTAGTAATCTGTTCATTTAATTGCAGCTGCTGCAAAAACTAGAGGCTGGAGGATGGAAAAATGGACAAAGGAATCAATTAGCATCAATTAGCATCACAGGATCTGCTTACAGCACACGTTTGTAAATAACATGCCTGTAAATTAGACAGTAAAAGGCTTTTCAGTCGTAATTCCTCTAAGGTTATGAGAAGACTACATCAATTCTTTCAGGAACAAGTAACATTATAGAGGCTAAAGCAAATGCTTTTGAGATGAGAATAAAGTAGCAAAACTTAAATTGTGATGAACAATTTGCCCTAGGGCCTGGATGTTCCTTTAAAGCTATGAAACACTAGATAACCAATTAAAAATGTCACAAACTACAGGGATGCTGCTGTCGACTGGATACACCTGCTGTGTGACAAACCAAGGATTTGACACAGCATGACTAAAGTTATATAGCTGGTATTCTTCAGAAAAATAATACCTCTATCTGTCTCTCTCCCGGTCTCTGCCGGCTCTGTAGACTTTCTTCATCAGCAATTTTATAAAGTCACCCAAAAAAGAATGCCCCGCCCACGATGAGGTGGGCCACGTGTAGAGGAGGCTTCTTGTTAATGTCATCACCTGTCGTGCAGCGCAGCATGTGCATACATTTGACACACAGGCACAGGATTGGATATGCAACACTTATGTGCCTGCTCAACCGGTCATGGCCGATTAAGCTGAAGACTGGGCGATTCCGGTCACCAGCCGATCGATCGGGGCATCTCTAGTTTATAGTGCCTCTTAATAATCTCCTGATGAATGAAAATGAACGTCTTCCAAAGTCTTTACTGCAAAACAAGACTGGGACCGAAGCAGCTGTCAAGCTGCCAAGAATTAATGGTGTCACAGAATGTCATGATGAGAAGCTCAGACAGTCTGAAAACTAACTGCCAAGGAAAATCATTATGACTACTTAAGGAGTCTGGCAGGAGAGTGTGAGTGTGTGTGTGACTGATGGACAAGCTGCACGGATGGAGGATTTACATTCTGCTTTAATGAAAGGTTTTCTTGTTTTACTTTGACAAGAGAAAAGGCTTCAGAGAAGAGGACTCTCTTCTCTTTGAACTGATGGTATCTCAGGAGAACTTTCCCCCAAAGTCTGAAAGTCTTCAAAAAGTTTTTTTTCCCCCAATAACAGGTGTTTGAGATATGTATATATTGTAGGAGTGTCGCCAACATCTTTGTGAATAAAGTGATATATAAAGTATTTCATTCATTAACCAAAACCACACATTTATTTACTCTATAAAAAGGGTTTATCAATTAAAATTCTATAAGATTTGTCATGTAACAATATGAGATAATTATCATTTTATTTGATTTATATTTGATTGACTGTGATTCAATAGATGGATAGAAGATAGAACTGATGAGTATTTTCATTATCAACTGCCAATTGTTTTGATAAATAATAATAATAATAATAATAATAATAATAATAATAATAATACTAATAATTAGCCATTTAGCTGACAATGATCCAAGGCAACTAGTGGTTAGTGTCTTGCTCGGGGACACATTTGTGGATGTCGCGGTGGGAATCAAACACAGGTCTCCTACAACAGAGACGTGTCTTATCCATGTGCCATCACTACTATCATGAAAGAACACATAGGAAGTTGCTTGTGTTGTGACACTAGACATTATCCCAGTGAGTGAAAAAAGAAGTTAAATTTCTAAGTTGGTCCAAAAATATTATCATAACCCTCATGGTGTGACCATTCTGTGTCACAAGTCATTGATACAAAAACTAAACGGACAAAAATTGATCCAGAATAACCAGTTGTTTCTCTCACCTGTTGATCCAGAGTCTTGTAACCGCACAGAGTGTTGATGACCTCTCCTACCTGTGCAAAGAGACAAAATTTAAAGTCAGAGACAAGATTTTAACTGAGCCAAGGTGACCAGAGACCATGGGGACATATGTGAGCGTAACGCTCCCCACAAGGGGGTTGTTCCTGTCTGCTGCCAGCCAGAGCGTGAACTTCAGCGTTTGCAAAGTGGCTTCAGCCCTGACAGGTAGGAACTGATAACAGCAGAAACCTAGCCAATGTTCAGCTTTTCTAACCAACTCCTCTATCTTCCTCCATCTCTGGGATGTGTGTGAGTATTGGATGATTCTCTCCAGCACAGCTCCACTGCTTTGAACTGAGGGACAGGAGTGATGCCAGTAATATGGAGGAGGCCACGTGGGACCAGCATTTCATTTAAAGAGAGAAATCTACCGAAGGCCATATAACTTTAAATCACAGCATGTCTCCTGTTAGCAGGGCGAGCTGCTTCTCTCGCACAACCAATTACATCACTGTTGTGGAGATAAAGGGTTTCTTTTCACACATCACTAACTTGGTGGATAGTTTCTAGATTTTAACCATCTATCAGCAGGGACTAGGATTAACAAATAAAATGCAACATCACTGATACTCTTTCTGGATTACATGCTGTCACTACTTGCTAAATTAAGTGGCTGCTTACAGTAAAAATCCAGTCATTGCAAAGTCTATTTACCGGTCTACTTTATGTACGTGGTCCAAGCAACCACACACACACACACACTTTATGTAATCCAGAGCCCGAATGACTCATGGTCAACCCTAGTGAATTTAAGCAGCATGACAACTTGAATGATGGTTACAGCTTTAGTTTGTGTTGTGTAACATGTCAGTGTTTCCTGAAGCCTTTCCTTTGTTTGCTTTTTGCAATATTCCCTTGTACTCCAAGTTTAGTTCAGGCTCGTGTGAAAGCCGTCAATCAACCTGACCAAGACCACCTGTCAAGGTGGGTCGTGGTCCACCTCCGAGCACACTGTGGTGCAGTTTAGTGATGATGTGAAAGCAAAGCAGACCATCCACAGTATTAATCGTAAAATTAATTGAAGATAAACCACTTTGAAATACCTGCTGATCATGAATCATAACAGAGTGATGACCCGATCTGTAAATGCTGTGTACCCTATGATTATGCAAGATTATTGAGTAAACATGGTAACACAGATGTGCATCAGAACATGAAAGCAGGCGTATGTCCTACTCTGTGTATGTAAGCAATTCCCCAATAAAAAATGAGTGAAATAAAACTATTCTACCCGCAATGTAACAGCACAAAATGCCTGTCCTGTTTCGACCGGTTCACAACTATTTATGATATATGAGGTCCAGTTACTGTCTCATGGTACTGTAACGTGTTACATAGGTGTGACCCGAATAGTCAAAGATTTGAAGATTTATAAAGCGAGGATCATACCATTTTCATTCATTCATTCATTCAAACCTTTATTTAACCAGGATAAATTAAAAATCTCTTTTACAAGAGTGCGGTTACAAAATCAATTTAAAAACAGTGACAGACAGACTGCCTTTCTGCAAGTGACAGACAGACTGCCTTTCTGCAAGGTCCTTTAAAAAGCCTTTAAAAGAATAAAGTGAGACCAACTCCTTCAACTGTAGTTCATCTGTAGTGAAGCTGATTCCATGCAGATGGCGCTGCAAAATTAAAAGCCTTTTTTCCAAAGTCAGTGCGGGCTTTAGGGACAGTCAATAGAAACAGATCCTGTGAGCGCAGGTGATATGTCCCTGCAGGCCTCGGGAGGATGTAAGTGTTCAGATAAGGAGGAAGAAGTCCTAACACTGCCTTATAAATAAAAAGATGCCAGTGCATCCAACGCTGAATGGAGAGGGAGATCCACCAGACCCAAGCATACAACAAACAGTGATGAGTGAGAGATTTTAAGTTTGTGATGAATCTCAAGGCTCCATGAAACACAGTGTCCAAAGCATGAAGGCACTGGGAAGTTGAATACATGTATAAAATATCACCATAGTCCAAGAATGACAAGAATGTTGCATTTACAAGTTGTTTTTTGCTTTCAAAAGATAAACAGTACTTAAAAAAAAAAAAAAAAAACCTAACTTCAATTTCAGTTTTTTAACCAAATCTTGGACATGCAATGTAAAAGACAGTGATTGGTCAATGGTAATGCCCAAGTATTTGTAACGTGACACTTCTACAATTTCTGTACCAGAAAGTGTACAAATGGTTGGGACATTGTTTTTAGTTGATTTTCCCAAAGTGAAAGTCATGATTTTAGTTTTTTTAGAGTTTAAAACCAATTTTAAAGTAGCCAGATTATGTTGCAAGATGTTAAAAGCGGACTGTAAATTTGTGACTGCTTGACCTAATGTGGACCCAGAACAATAGAGAACAGTGTCATCAGCACAGTAATGATAGTTTGTATTTTTATTATTTTTATTTTTTATTAATTCTTTTATTTTAATTAATTAATTATTTTATTATTGCAGAGGTTGTTTGTATAAATGATAAAAAGAAGAGGCCCAAGGTTTGAGCCTTGAGGCACCCCTTTATTATATTATATATATATATATGCCTCCCTAAATATTATATTATTATTAATATTTAGGGAGGCAGAAGTGAGGCCGTCTACTTGCACACATTGTGTTCTCCCTGATAGGTAACTGTTGAACCATCCCACTGCTTGTTCTGCTTGAGTCTTTGAAGGAGTATTTTAAGATCCACTGTGTCAAAAGCTTTTGACAAATCAATAAACAGTGCTGCACAGTGCTGTTTATTGTCCAAGGTTTTGACCAGGTCATTAACAACTTTTGAAACAGTTGTTATTGTACTATGTTGTTTCCTGAAACCAGATTGAAATTCATTCAGAATATTGTTATTAATTAGATCCATTAGATTCCATTAATTTAGCTAATAATGAAAATTTAGAAATAGGCCTATAGTTATTTATGTTTGCAGGATCACCACCTTTGTGAAGGGGGAGAACATTGGCAGATTTCCAGATGGCTGGTACTTGATTCGTTGCTAAAGAAAGGTTAAATAAATATGTAACTGGATTGGCTATCAAATCTGCAGCTATTTTCAGAAAATATGATTCCATTTCGCCTCGACCTGCTGTTTTTTTTGGATCTAGATCTTTGAAGGCCTTCCTTACTTCTGGTTCGGTTACTGTCTTGAAATGAAATGGTTGAGCTGACAGTGACTGATCAATAGGACATACAGTGGGAGAGCTGGAAACTGGATTATGTAGTGTTTCATAAAAGGGAGCTAGCAGCAATGAAATGATTATTAAAACTATTGACAATTTCATTTTTGTCAATGATTTTTTTTGTCATTAACAACTATACAAGATGGTACTTCTGTATCTGTTTTTGCTTCAGTTAATAATTTGATTGTTTTCCAGAACTTGAGAGGGTTATTTAAATTTTGGCTATACAGGGGTGCTCAATGTCTGATTTTATATAGAACTACCGGTAAGTTATTATACAGCCTATTATGATAACATACAGTATAATGCTGTAAATAAAAATGTGAAAAGTTAAAAAGTTTTCAATCAATCTTTTTAAAGTGCATGAATCAATCCTCCTCCGATGGACTGGCGAGCTGTCCAGGGTGTACCCCGCCTTTCGCCCGATGCCAGCTGGGATTGGCTCCAGCCCCCCGCGACCCTGTACGCAGGATATGCGGTTGACGATGGATGGATGGATGGATGGATGAATCAATCCTCAATTGTAACCCTAACCCTTAAGGTAGGGGGCGTCAGTGTACATGTGTGGGCGTAGCTTGTGTGTGAGGTAGAGGATTGTTGTGCTAGTGCTAGTTGTGTGTGCACCTGGCGGAACGTTTGAATCATTTATCACCATTGTTGAACCACACAAAAAATATTATAAGGTTTTTAAACAGTACTTGTATTAGACCCGTGAGGAACCGCATTGTGAACGCAATTCTCGGTGGGCATGCACAGCTCAGCTGGAGATGTACAATGTAAGTTACAGTGACTAGTGAGTAGAGCCTGCAGCTCTGCAGATTCTCAAGATTAAAGCCAGGCGAGCGTGTATAACCCCACCCGATCCGGCGATCAGTCGACTAAAGGCAAGACTGATTCGACTATGTAAATCCTTAGTCGGGGACACTCCTAGTGCTGCATGACTTGCTCTCAGTCACCGGAATTTGGTTTTCTCAATGTAGGTTCATGTAGTGCTAAAGATGCAGGAAGAGAGTAGCCAAATCAATGAGTTATCAGACCAGAACCAAAAGGAAACGGTGTCTCTTCTTTTTGTCCTTGATCTGAACCAACTGAACCGAACTACGGGGGTCAACAACCACACAAGAACTACCACCAACAGCTCGTGCAGATGTTTTATGGTATTTTAGGTGATGACTGTTTGTTCTATGTGAGCTGCCAGCACTCACCTTACGGCGAACACAACAGGTATATGGAACTCCACAGGCTAGTGGACCAGTACCATTGCAGAAATGATACTGGTTGACTCCCCAGTCCTTATACTCGTCCCCTCCACAGCATGAAAACTGGAAAACAGAACAGTACAAGGACAAGGCAATTAGGATCCAAGCATGCTATCAAAACGAAGGCTCATCTCAAATTAAAATGTGAAACATCAACAAGCTCGAGTTCTTTTCAAGTCTCTGAAATGAAACAAACAGCTCCTGCTGTGCAATTCACACTTCTGTTTCACCTCCGAGTTGAGCCGGAGCTCACTCACCAAGCTGCCCCCTTACCACCCCATCCAGACAGACACATTATCCTTCCCTGTATCTAATTCCTACAGCATAATAATGAATAATCACATTGTAGGTTCTGTTACTCTGACAGATCAAGTAGATTGCTCATTAATTATGAGGCCATACTGACTATCAAGACAGCAACCGCATTTTAAAATAGCCAAATAATCCGACAGTACTTATTTTGTTGGATATCTTAGTATGTCATGAAAGGATAAAAAGGATTTGAAGGGGCAAATGTTTGTGCAGTTAAAGGCTTTTCTTATAATGGGGACCATGCCACAAGAGTAAGAACATTTCTGGGGATACACTGCACCTGTGACAAAGCAGACAGACTATTCCAACAGTAAAACTGAAACTAAAGAAATATAAACAAATAATACTGAAACAAACAAATCATGTCGTCTGTCGTATGAAAGTACCAGCTTGGCTGGATTAAAATGCAGGATAACAAACCTGTGTGACCAACTGCACCGATGAATGAGAGCATCAAGCTGTAGATGACCCCTGGCTGGTACAACCCACATCTTTTTATCAACACAACAATATCAAATAATACCATTATTTTACAACAATACCTATATACACAGTTTAATAATCATTGCTGTACACAAAAATAAGAAATGCATCTCCCAATAGAATTTCCTGTCTATACATATTTTCTAGATAAAATACCATACTACCTTTTGTTGCACATAGTCCAAGATGTTTTTGAAGTCCAGATCATCGTAGTAGTGTTTAATTCCTTCTCGTATACTGCTCTGAAACAAGGTAGACGTCTAGATCAAATGAAGAGAGGCAGAAACACAGAGGAGAGGTGGTCACTGTTTTGAGCACTGACAAAGATGATGCCAGTCAGAAAGGATGATGAAAAAGTAGTGACTGTGATATGTAGGAATGTACAGGATGTGTGAACACGTCACACGAATAAGATGCTTACCTTCTTTTCGAAGATGAGCGCGGTGGTGAGCGCAACCGCCTGGAGAAGCAGCAACACACAGAGAACACAGAGGAACTGTGGAGGGAGAAAGATAAAGAATCATACAGTACTCCCTTGGTAGATATATTTAGCAGTGGTGCACCAAAAAAAAAGAAAAAAGAAAACTACATTCTTTGCAACCAAATACAAATTAACTTTGCAGATGTTCCATTTCAGTACATCAAAAGACACAACGCATAACATACTGATAAAGCAGAGATGGCTCGAGCTGATCCCAAAGATCAGTATTGGGGCCGACCCAGGAATATCTTAATGGATCAGTTTCAGCTAAAATAAACCACATCAAATGCTGAATCTTTCTTTACTGTGTACTCTTGTGTCAGTGTCAGTCTAGTGCAGCATTTCACTGCATATATCAGTAAAAATTAGAGTGTACCAATGCGAAGATATTTGGGTGCCCTAGTGCAAGACTTTTCAAACCCAGATTGGCAAAATACAACTAAATATCAACGCGTTTTAACAAAGAGCTGTGCACAAAACATTCCGGTAGCAGCATATTTCAGTTTCAGAGAGAAACCACTGTTGTTCGGGTTGTGTACTCTCTGCAAGTCGTTGTTAGTATCTGGCCACAGATAATTTATGAAAGATGAACCTCCAATCTGTAATACCACTGTAAAATTGCAAGTAAACTTGAGTGTTGTTGTAGTCCCAATAACTCCAACACAGTGACACGTCTTCCCACCAGCTGATCGGGTCACATCAATTTCAGGAGTTCTCCAGCTCAAAATTTCATTCACATCATTTAAACAATTTTACAACAAAAACAAGCTTATTAACTTTATCATTCTGAACCAGCAACTCCAGGATTTAAATTAAGTAGCTTGTGAAAATGTTTGCAGGTTATACTTGTTTCCGTGTGTCAGATACATATTTAATCAACAGTGCATATCTGCTGCTGCCATGTATAGAATCATTTTAACTATGTATAGGGAGTATCTTTGGTATAAATACTTAATTTGGGATGTATTAAGTTCTATATAGTCATATTTTCAGGTTGTAGCTTGAGTGCGCACTGGACAGCTGTGTCATTTAGGCAAATATCAGTACTGGATTTGATATTAGAAAAAAAAAAGACCACAATCCCTATATTCCCTTCCTTAGATAAAACTGCTAGTATTTATCATACTGTATGCTATTTATGGAATACTTGTTTTTGATTTGTAATCTAAGGTTTTAAAATGATAGGGAACAGAGTAAAAAGCTTGGTTTAACCAACCAACCGACGCTGAGAGAAGCAAATATCAGTGGATGTAGGAACATAATGTATAAGTCTCCCAGTGAGTAACATTAACTTTATAGCTTCCTCCGCATGAAATGAGCTCCTCGTCCTCTTCAAAGCATAAGCAGAAACATCATTGACTTCCTTTTTATTGCTAACTTTAATCCCCTTTTTCAGTTTAGGTAATTTAGCAAAATCTAATTACATAGTTGCATAGCAACCACAATAATATATCTTCCCTTTGAGTTCTTTTTCTGTTATAGACAAAACCAGCAGGTGCACTTGTGCATTTGCAGTTATATTTTTCAGTTTTGTGTTTTCAGTATGTGTGTAATTTGTTTATTTATATACAAATGTACACACAAATACAGTACTGTGTTTGTTGAGGTACCCTCATTTGTATAATTTAGTTTTATTCCCCATTACGTCCGTGAATTTGAAACTCAGTTGACACCGCAAATGTTCTCTTAACAACTCTGAAAATTGAAAAGTTGTGCGCGCACACACACACACACACACCCCTTTTCAAAGGCGTGCTCATGCCCGCCCTCTTCCTCTATCATCCCTACCATGTGCAGCAGGGTCTTGTTGTCCCTGAGGGATCCAACCATGCCCACCACCGACACTGTAAACATCACCAGGCCCAGGAGGATGAGCACAACAGCAGGAGCCAGGAAAAGGCCCTCCAGGGTTCGATTCTTCTGCCTTTCCACTTCGGCATACACCCCCACACAGAGCACACAAAGACCCATCAGCTGGGGGGGAGAAAGACGGGGAGAGGGTTCATGAGATAAAAACCGTCACAATCCTCAGTATGACGAACACACACTCTCAAGCTTTTTGAACTATGTTTAATTTTCAGACTTTTAGAATGTAGTATTTGTGTGAAAACATTACATTGTTTACTTTAAATTATTTTGAACTCAAGACTGTTCGGTTGTTTAAATATACAGATTTCTTTAAGAACATTTCATTGGGTTTCCGTTGTCTTTGCTCCTGCTTCTTGTTTTATGAATGATAACAGTTATGCCATTTTCTCTCATTTGAAAAAGAAATTTCAATCTGAAGAGACCATTCTGGGTTAAATGTTTGATTGGACATACAAGTTTAAAAGTTGACACAGTTTCCCTCTGAGTTTTAGTTTCATTAGTGTGGTAAATTTAATTTGGCTAATTAAATTTTTTAAAGAGGATTTGTTGCTTCTTAAGGCAGGATAAGGCTACAGCCCATATAAACTTCAACTACTAGATCCACTTAATGGAATTATGCAGTGAATGAAGAGGATGGGACATGCCCTCTGTCATCACAGGAGATTCATTGCACAAGATTCAGACTGGAGAAGTCCAAGACGCCAGACTGGATGTGCAACAAACCTGTGATGATATCACCACAGTATGCAATAAGCCAACAACAAATGGTGGCAACAGGAAATAAGATTTTAATGACAGTGAGGTGATTTAATCAGTTCCACTGAAGAATAAGAGCACTGTGAAATTAAAAAAGGGTCATTAGTGATTGTCTTTAACTGTTGCACTTGACTTTAAGTTTGCTTTAACAACACCACCATCTTTCAGGCATGAAAGAAGTATTCATTATACATACAGGTTTAGATGATTTTTTTCCTAGTACACAAACCCCCAAAATGTACTGAGTGCTCACACCATGATGGGGAAAGGCTACAACATGTGAAAGGATGATAACGGGGACAGAAAATAGAAAAATGGGGGGTAAAATGTGGTGTTGGTGTAATATGACTGCATCATCACAACAGTGATCATTGCTAAAGTGCACCCAGTGCTCAGCCTTGCTTTACACTTACACTGACATCTAGCCAGAGGTAGAAGAAATACTCTTTATGGAAGGAAAAGTACAAATGCAACAACTAAAAATAGAATCACGTAACAAAAAGTACTTGTTTCACCATTATTTATATTACATTATTATTAATACTGAAGCATCCATACTAGTAATATTTTAGTAGCATTTTACTGCACTACCACTACATCTAGCTGGTCAGTGTGCTGGATTAGTGCCTCACAGTAAATTACTGTCATGAAGAGCATTACATTAAAGTCATTAGCAAGACTAACCAAGTCCTACCCTTAGTCTACCCCTAATAAAATATGTTTAGAGCACATGTTCACAAATTGGAGTGTCTCACCACTGTTTATATTTAACTAATCCAAGGGCTACAAAAAGAAAAGTATAAACAGTGTTTTCTTCCCAGCTATTGATTTTATAATTGGGAACAGAAGCAATCTGCCTTAAGAGTGGGGTCCATCTACTTCAACTCTTATTTACTGCTCACAACCCTCCATAAAGCATTGGCAGATACACTTGGCTTCCCACATCCAGTGTCAGCCTTTCTCAAACAAAAAACTTTGAATTGCTAGGATAATATCGGCCTTATGGTCTTAGGGTTTGTTAGCTAGATCCAGATGTCACAACAGTGACGCTGTGCAAAGACACTTGGACCCAGGAAAAAGCTTGTTTGGACATTTGACATTTAATACTCTAATACAATTCTCAATGTAATTGTTTGTTAAGTATAGCTGTAACTAACCGTGAGTAAAAAGAAAAATCAACCAGACTTGTTCATGTTGCCCTGGATGTGGATGAGTAATTCTCACTGCACACCTGCGGCTTCATTCGTGTCATAAGAATCCTTCTTAAATTACATTAACCAAACTTAACACAACTACAGAAAAGATAGCTTTAATTAAGTCTACACCGTTAGCTTTGGGCTAAAGGAGCTTTTGTCTGTTGAGTTGAGCTGAGGCACAGTGTCCTAAATCCCAGAAATAGTACAGGGGGGAGACAGATCATATGAAAGGGTCTCTGGAGTACTAATGGAATCAAACTACTGATGTTTTGGACTCATATTCAATAATGTGCTTTAGGGTGTATACACTCGACAAACACGGTCGGGTTGGTGGTGGTGGTGCAAATTGAACATTATTTCAACAGTGTTCCTGGAGATGAAAGTGGTGTAAGCTGGGAGGGAGGGGGGTGAGTAAGCATGAAGCCAGACACAAACACAGGGGTTTGTAAGTGAAGCGATGAAGGCTGACTATCACTCATCTTTTCTTCTTAAAGGCTCATCCAGCCTTTTTAGGTGGCTTCTCGATTCCAAATTAATCCCAACAACTTCAACAACCAATATGACCATAGGTCTTTCTCTGAGTAGATCATTTATTTAGTTGTTGTTGTTGTTATTATTCATTTATTAATGCCTGGTGTAGTTCAGTCTGTAACATGTTAAGAAAACATTTCAGAGGAGAGGCATCAAGTGAATCACTAAATCAATGATGATATATAATCAACTGTAAGCATACGATTCATTTAATACATATTGACCCTGAATTGGTTGAATGACAACAAAAGCGCTTTTCAGCCTGCTCCTATTTCTGTCGGAAAACTATTTACCCACGTTATCGTCCCTTTAACTGGATCCAACGCCCTGCACCACTGTGCCGTTTACAAGCCAGTGATCGTGGTTTACGTTATTGTTTCAATACCAAATGCAGTTATTAATATATGAGTATATTTTTTTATCATTACAGTGCCCGAAATTCTAGTATTAAGAGATTAAAATTTAGCATGATGCATGGTGTCTGGATGGTTATGTCTATCTTGTAAGCTAACCATTCAACAGCTAGCTAGTATCCAGACAATTTCACACCAAATCCCATTAGAAAATATGGCGACTTAATATCGCATTGCTCACCATCAAATACACCAAGTTGTAATCATAATTTTTAACTTATTTTCTAATCATTATAGTATTTCGCTAAATGCGGAATGTGTCCTATCCAACACGGTAATATTTCGTTAATATCTTAGATATAGCCCTCTCACGCTAACGCTATTTAGGTAACGTTAACGTTAGCAGTTAGCCTGAGTTTCAGGCGAATCCATGTTTTAGATTGAAATTATAATAGAAAGAGAGTCGTGGTCGTTGTTTGTTATATATGCCGAAATGTACATCAGCTCGTATAGATTCAACAATATACGTCCAGTTATGTTCTAAAACGTGTGTATGAGCCTGAAACATATGGTACATTTAAACCCTAGTGTTTTGAATGAAGTTTGGATAGATGAATCACTGACGCTATTGGGTGGCTCGCGTCTACTACAAGCTGATGCTATTGCAGCTCATTCGAACTTACTATGGCACATAGAATGGCAGTGTCAATAAATGGACCAAAAACTTACCGAGAAGAGCATTGAGTAGATATTAAGGGTAAATTTGATGAAGTAGTAGAAGTGGTTGGTTTTCCTCAATTCAGAGTAGGACGGCATGGCTGCTTGCATTAGTAAAGCTAGCTAACAAGCTAGCTATCGTTCGTTTGGTTTAGGAGATATCAAAATTATATTCATGAAAAATAAAATATTGTTAAGAGAGCTAACTGAATTTTAAATATGTAGCAGCCCTCATTTCTCTCACACTATTTTGGGAAGCCACAGAAACAAAACCATTTCCGTGCGGCCGGCCAGTCCACGCTTTGTTTTGACTACATTCTTAAAGGGGCAGTGCACACGTCCTCGTAATTTCATTGGATTTAGCTGCTACAGTTAATTTCTAACATCATTTTGTGATGTGACAAAAACTATAAAAAGCAGCCTGTATTATGACATTGAGTCCAGAAGTACTGGATCAGTCTCTGTAGTAGCAAAACAGCTAAGGAACTTGGGAAGACAGAGATGATAAACATCTATCTATAAAAAAGGTATAAAAAATAATTTAAACAACAGGATGAAAATATAATGACCTCTCTGAAGAAACTTGGTCATGGTAGTAGCACAATAATAGATGATAGAAATAAGTATAACATAAACATAAAATCAAAACATCCATCCATCCATCCATCGTCAACCGCTTATCCTGTGTACAGGGTCGCGGGGGGCTGGAGCCAATCCCAGCTGACATTGGTTGAAAGGCAGGGTACACCCTGGACAGGTCGCCAGTCCATCTCAGTAAATCAAAACATAAATTTTAAAAAGCTAAGAGTTACTGCATTATTTCTAGACTCACAGCTAATCCTTCTTGCTTCAAGTTGCATCAGTTGTTGGCACCACTTGTTGGATATATTTGGCATTTGACATTACTGATGCATTCACAGATAGGTTTACCCAAAGCTGGCCATGTGTTTACCCAAGTGATTATCAAAAGTGTATTCTTCTGCGATTTCCATCTTTAGCAGATGGTTTGTGTTCTTCTACTCTTTATTGCAATCTGTAGCTTCGCTTCCTCCTGACAGTGGTACATTTACGTAGGTGTGGTACATTGTTCCAGGTAATGTGCAACCTCACCTGCTGTGTACACTCCATTATGTGTGTTGCAGAGAGAAGCATGAGCTAGCTAAGAGTGATTATATTTAATCAATTACTGACTTACTGGAGTTCTTCAACCAACGCTATCCTCTTCCTGTGCAAACATCCACACTTATTATGTCTCCTTGAGCAAGACCCAGCTGTTCTGTGGCTGACCCTGACTTCTGACCTTAAACTGGAGAGGGCCTATCAAGAACAGAATTTCCCTGCAGGGATCAATAGAATATTATGTTACACACTGCCCTGTGATGGAAGTGTAGTGCTGAGATTGCACCTAGTCCCATATGACTGTGAACAGGAATAAGTGGGCAAAGAAAGGACTGAATGATCATGCACTGCTCAGTAAGATCTGCACTGCCAAACCTTTTTCCGAAGGCTTCTCTAACTCAACAGGATATCCATTGATCTTTGTTGAAGGAATTAAATCTGTCACCCTGGTGCACATTCTGAGGGTCATTAGGGTGGCTGCAGCTCATCAACGGCAACACACAGTCTCACATCTTTCACAAATAACTGACTTAAATTTTCGGTGGGAGGTAGGGTAACATTTAGGCCAAGCTACTGAGAGACAATCAATCGAAAGGTCAGAGATAACATTTGGAATTCAGAAATGTTTTCATGCCCCTGAGGCCCTCAGGATCATTGACCAGACTGGGAGACAGTTTGCATGGACTGAATTAGGTTTAAATTCAGAAACCCAGCTCATTTCTTGGGTTAAGTCATCTGAATCCAGCACTTCCTCTGCCTCCTACTCACTCCACACCACACGAATGCCCATATTTAAACAATTATCCCATCTTACCCTTCTCTATGACGGCGGCCTTTTATCCTGCCTTAGATTGTTCGGACAAACAACTCATGGAAGCTGCTTGACCTTTACATAATTCTAAAAACAAAGCCTCCCAAAATGACTAGTTATAATTGGCACTACACACACATATAAATAAATAGCCATCCCTACTTATCCAGCTCACAAAGGAGGAACAAGAAGAATGAGGAACAGTACTGTTCCTCATTCTTCTGTTCCTCATTCTCTCACGTCAAAGCACAAATTCTTTTCATATTACAAGCACGCAGTAAGATTCTAAAGTAACCTGTAAGCACTTTTTTGATTAACTCTTTCTATATTAACTATATTTTGGATGCTATGTCACAACTCTTTTTCAGCACCTTTTACTATACATTGTTCTATGACAACATTAGTCTAAATTAGTTTTGCGTCAGCCAACTACAACAATAAAATGCTATTTACATCAGTGATAATAATAATAAAAAATATTATACATAAAGGCTCTGTAGGTTCCTTATGGCTTTGGGTGGGCGGGTGTCTGTACATCCATGTTAATGTAAAGCACACTGGGCCTTATTCTTACGGTACGTGCATAGAAACTTTCTTACTTTGCACACAAAACAAGTCATTTTTGCTACTTTCATGGAACGCAACCTTAGTTTTAGACTTTGCCAAGAACCCATGTAAGCCTGTTTTAAGTTTTGTGTAAATAAATTTTTCCACTTTAAGCTAGGAAACTCACTTTTTATTTTATTTATTTTTAAGTATTATTTCATAGAATATTTTAAATATGATGATAATTGAAGAGGATGAAAGGGTGTCAATTTAATGGTTATTTAATACATTTGGCCAGTGCAATAGGAAATTAACAGTTTTACATATTATTGTCTATTAAAGCCTTTTTAAATAAATAATTTAATATCGATGCATTTAGTTTAAAGGTGTGTGTTTACATTTTCTAAGACAGCCGGGAAGGCTGACAAACAAATTTACTTCAGAAAATATTGATGAATCACAGATTTGTGCGTAAAGTACAGTTTTGTGCCCATTGAGTTTACTTGTAATGAAATGTACTCCACAATTCTCTTGCATTGCTCTTCATCTTTCTCCGCAATCCATACGTTTCCCCCCTTCTATTCTTTTGGTAACACAATACCAAGTTAACTTTTACAAAACTCTTCACATAGTTAAGTCAGTGTGGACTAAACTGTGGCTCACTTTTCAGTGCTTTGAAACAAAATGCATTCAATGACTTCTTTCAAAATTCAACTCATTCAACACAGAAACTCTGTGTTTAGTTCAGTTTTGCACATATTAACATACTACTGTAAATACTGTCAAATATGCTCCCGTCTCTGCTTGAGGCCAGTGGCTCCAGACTACATCAGCAGCTACGACCATAAAAAACCTGAATCACTGACTACTGCCAGCAGTCGAGTTGCATTGTGGGTAATGCCAACGGCAGGTTTCGTCAAGAAAGAAAAGAATGCATGGAATGCGAAAGACTGTCTTCCTCTGATGCATTTTGATCCTTTTTTTAAACTACAACAAGTACAATGCTGAAGTATTCTTTTAAGTCATCTGCAAAGAATTTTATTTTTGTTTGTAAATTACAATGCATTTCATTTTCAGCAATTCTGACACACCTACATCTGCTGCCTACATTTAAGCTATGTGTATTTGGATTTCCTGTATGTTTTTGTGTGTTGATGTGTGTAGGTTTAAGACTGCTTCCATGTCCTCTCATTGACGATCCTTGCACACAACCTGGCACATTGTCTCAAAGCTATAGCAGCAATTATTCCTGTTTTCTTTTCATCATGCTACTGACACCATATTAGATTTGTCCTTTATCCATTACAAATTTACACCTTGATAAAATGTAATAATGACAAGAGAAATAGCACTGGTGCTACCAGTCCTGAATATAGCTCATTCACACATGGTAAGTAGAGTGGGGTAGTGCTTAACAAATAGATTGAAGAAAGAATATTACTGTTTGATTTCCACTACTCTTGGAGCTTGTGTGACATTGTTGAAGCCTCTACCCATAGCTATCACTTCAGTGGCCAATACAGAGGTGGCCAAACCTATTAAAGCTCTTCCACAATCTTTCTCATTCCTGAACTCAAAATGACAATCGACAAAATGGTAAGCCAACTAGCTTTGTATATCATGGTACATGACTGTGTAAAATACAGAATTTCTATCATATAAACATTCTGAATGTCCATCACTATTGCTGTCACTTGAATTTCCTATAACCCTGCATTCTTTCTAATGACAAGCAGGGGGTGACTCCAGTGTTTGCAAAAATAAGTCAGATTGTAAGTCTATGATAATGACCCGACTTCCCACCTGATCTTTTTACCTTAGTAAACAGCATGATGTTAATTTTGTGATTTATGGTCCCTTTTAGAGGAAAATAAATGATAAAGCAGATTATGGTGTTGGGTGTGGCTAAATGTATGTAAATGAAATTACATACATTTTTATTTAAGGGGTTTTTCAGTAGCAAAAATTTGCATCCCAGTTAATACTACACTTTACATGAATTATGGAGGCACTTTCACTTTCTAACCAAGCTAGCTCCACCCTCTCATCCAAATTTGGTCACTTCTCGTTCTAATAAACCAAGATGGTGACGGCCAAAGTGGCAATTTCTAGACTTCAAAACGGTATAACACAAACCAATGGGTGATGTCACAGTGGCTACTTTTTTTTACTTTTTTTTTTTTTAAACAGTCAATGAACAGTGGCTGCCTTAACTATGTTTGTTAATGATTAGTCAACTTGAAGCATGCTATTTTGGAACAACTAATTTTGTACTACATTTATTTTAGTTGAAATTAAATTGTAGAAAAGCACAATTTGAAGTGTAGTTAGTGTACGTTTATGTGCTGAAGTGGAACAACTTCAAGTATACTTTGTATACTTTAAGTATATGGCTGTATATTTACTAATAAACATGCTTGATTAGTGGAGATTAAGTGTACCTTATTTGTGATATAAGTAAATTAAAATGTATTCTCAGTGTCTGACAAATATACTAGCATTATACTATTAAAATATTCGTATTATGGTAATAGTATGCTCAGTTATATTTTTGGCTTATTCCAATTAATAAAAAAGTACACTTTGCAGCTAATAATCAATATACTTCATTATAACTTTGCTATGCTACTTTGTATATTACATACTCTTGCACAACACAGTACTGCAAATGTAACAGGCTACCAGTATACTGAAGGCTAAATTACGTGTGGGACAACCCAATGCTGAATGCACTTTCCAGGTGAATTTGTTTTTTGCTTTATTATATTTCAAATACATTTACATTTTCAATAGTTGCAAAACATTGCAAATATACTGACAAAGAACTGTACGATCCGTAAATATAAATTTGTTTACAAACATTGTCCCTTGAACAATTTTCACAATTCAACTTTTCACACACTTAAGAATTATGTAACATAATTGTTTCATAGTAGACTTCCTAGAAATATATTATGATATTCTAGTGAGACAAACTGACCACATTTCTCATTCATAAGAACACAGTGGAACACTGTACAGTGAAAAACCAATGTTCATTGCACCACTGCCCCACGACCCACTATACAGAAACATACTATTTATTATTCCTTTTCTTGGCTGAACTGCTCATTATTACACTTGCATCTCGCACATCAGAGGCACTTGTCTGTGGAAACTCCTGAAGAACAGCATCTGCAGAATAGGCAAGAGATAAGGTCAATAGTTTGTTCCATTAGACTGCCTGGGAAATGCTGTATTGAACCTATACTATTTTTGAAAGATTAGCAATGAGGAATTGTGTCAGTATTGTATGCCAATATTTCTACCAGTACATTGTGAACATATATTTAACAATTACTGGTGGTTTGTACTGCTCCTATAAAAAAAATCATAGAAGTTTATACTACATGTAACTCAAGGTTATGGCATGTACTTTGGCAATGTCCAACTGTGTTTTTGGCGGCCCATCTTTCCCGACTTCCCAGTCACTGTGCAAGGACCTCCTCTGTAAACACCAGGACAGCCAGCTCCTGGGCATACTGTACATGGTCATGCGAGATCGGTTCAGCCACAGGAAAGCCCTCTATGAAACTGTTACTGCGCAGCCAGCCAAAGGGTGCTGTATGAGAGAGAGGGAGGGAGGGAGAGAGCGAGAGAGATTTTCAAATTATTATTATTTAGATCGTTTGATATTTTAGTAATTGTTTTGTTTTTACATTTGATACTGATTTCTATTTTTTTTTTTTATCAATTAATTATTTAAAAAAAAGTTTGGTCTGTTAATATATATACACACGTTATCGTTTTATTTATTTATTTTATTTTAATTTTTATATTTCTTTTTTTTTTAAACACAAACACACATACGCTTTGATTACTTCACGCTTTAATTAATTGTTTAATGAAATGTATGGGGTTGATTATTCTTATGTTGTATGTATGATGCTTTGGCAATATTGTCAATTATCAATTGAATAAATTAATACCATATATAGTTAGGAGGTCTCTACCTACCCATGAGGTGTGAAGGCTCCCACTGACAGAAAGATCATTCACATGACTGATGTGTGACACATGTAACATATTAAATACCATCACTTTATTAGACCCATTTTACCATGGACACCGGAAGATCCTGTTAAAAACAAAAGATAAATGCTAATAAACTTTACTTCAACCGAGTTGTTGACCTGTTACCCTAAAAGGTAATAGAGCAATAAAGCAGATAAATAATTTGTGTCTGAGAATGTAGAGAGTACAGAACAAGCAGCTAAGAAAAAAGTATGACTTACAATATCAGGAAGTTAAGGTGTCATCAGAACTGGTGTGATGATCGGGACGGCATGTCTGGGGTAACAAAACAGCCTTCTTTGCGTGCTTTGCCTGCACAAAAACATTTATAATGTGAAAAAATAGCTAACAATATCCAAATTGTACTAGACACAACAATATTTAACTAAATTTGCGGCTAACACTTTTGGGGTTTTTTTAGTAGGATTTTTCATGCAGGACCTTTAATGCATTTTTACATTGCTGGTAAAGGATCTGAATACTCATTCCACCACTGTCTGCATAATACATATCTGCCTTCGAAGAAAGCAGCTGGAAGTTTAGCTAGCTAACTTTGCATGAATATTTGAGCTAGCATGACAAGTAACATGTAGGCTAACGTTCCTTTTTCAAATATCCACTCACTACCACAGCTTTTTTTTGCCTTCACCTTGTGTGCACCTGTACTTGTGAAAAGTGTGCTTTTAGTGTATTTTTTAGAGATGGTTATGTGTGAGATGTATTTTAAAATTATACTTATTAAACATTACATTGCACAAGTAGCTATTTGTGTACTTAACTGAAAAAAATATAAATGGGTTTTCAGTGCATTTTTGCAGTAATAAAAAAAAAGTAATGCACTGAAATACAAGCATGAATAAAGTAACTTAAGTAAATACACTCAAATGTAATCTAAAATATACTAAAACTTCAGCATATTAAAATGGTTATTTTTAAATAAGCTTTCACTGCATTGATACAGAGATAATTTTGAGCATACATTTTTTTTATAAACAAAATGTACACATATACAAAAAGTTTTTTAAAACAAAGTTGAAATAGTATGTTTTTATATAATGTATTTCTTGAAAGTGCACTAGAGTACAATTATTTTTAAGTGTGTTGAAAGTTTGTATACTTTTTATATAATTACAGACTTACTTTTTAAAAATTTTGAATATGTTTGAAATACAATAAAGTATATATTTTTTTCTACCTATGTATGGACACAGGAAGAAGGGGTGCGGCAACCCCTTCAGCACCCCTAAAACCAGACATTAAAAAACCTCTTTATAATAAAGAAATAGAGCGAGAGATAGAGGGAGCATGACTAACGAAAGAAGTGTCAACATGATATATAAAACGTTCTCATAAAGCCTAATATTAGTCTACAGATCTGTGGTGGTTTATCAGTGAGGGGTATGGATTACACTGCAGACTGAAGTGTCTGTTAACAGTGACACAGTGAGTGATGCTTGTCTCCTCTGTGAAACGTCTGGATTCTCACTGCGCTGCATTATTAGAAACTATGATGGACTGGTCGTGGGTCACATCTTTCTCTCATCCAGGCGCTGTCTCTCCCTCTTCATCTCCAGGCATTTTAATGCATTAGCTCCTGTTATTGACTGTATTGCTGTGGCTGCTTTGACATAAAGTATCTTAGTGTTCAGGTTTGCTGTCTGCTGTAGTGTAAAATGTACAAAAGTTTTTGTAATTTTTACTAATATTTGATAAGTTATCCTGGCCATTGAAATGAATACAGAAAACATGAATATTGCGCACCATTTAGTAAGACATCATTATATAGACTGACCTCTCAGCACCCCCAACTGTGACTGTCCATGTGTGGGGAAGACTGCTCTTAGAAAAAAAACATTATAGAATTACCATTAAGAATTACTACAGAAATACCACAAAAAATAATAATATTACTATACAGTATTACTATAGTAATTATATGTGTTTTTGGAGCACACAATAGAAAATTACTATATTAATACTACTGAGTTGGCTGTGATGATCTTATAGTGAAGTATTACTAAAGTGGTTATTGCTATATAGAGTTTTCTATAGTATAACCATGGTTGTTCAGGAAATTTCTATATAGTTATGTGTACTATACTGTATTACTTAAGTGTTTTCAATGTGTTTTTTTGGACACCCTATAGAAATATACCAATATTTATTTTTGATTATTTGAGTAAGATTTGTGGTACAAAATGTCCGTTACTGGTTATTACCACTATAACCCCTACAGGTGTATGGGTGTGTTTAGTGTACAATTATTTGTACATAGGGGCATCCTAGTGGCCCAGAGGTTAAGGCACTAACCATCGTTCAAGTCCAACTGGGAACCGTTCCCCATCTTTCTCTCCCCTCATTTCCTGTCATCTCTCCACTGTGTGCTATAATAAAGCAGTAAAATGCCCAATGATGTTTCCCAGTGATGAAATACTGAAATAACTGACAGCCATTTTAAAGCTATCATCATTATGACCTATTACAACAAAGATGCTGCTGTCATATTCTGTCACATTATGCCCATGTGACTGTCTGGTGTTGTTGTAGTCACCTTAGAGTCATTCAGCCCCTTTCATGACAACAGTTGGTGGTGAGAAAGTGCCAGCAGCCATGAAGGGATGCTCAGTTTCAGTCACACTAGTGATGGCAGCTTTTGGAAGCCAAGGAGAAACTAGTGTTTCTTTAACTGTGAAAAATGGATTGGGCTCATTAATGTTTTTCCTGAAAATCTGAACAATTTGTTTCAGTACCTGACGACAGGAGCAAAATGGCTCAGTCAATTGCAGCAGCCTGGGTATATGCTGATTGGGTAGGATTATACAGTCAGCAGTGGTGAAGTAAACAACTTGTTATAATCATCATAACCATCCTCATTTGCATCACGTGAGACTAACTTTTCCGTTAGCTGTGATTGGATCTACAGTCCTGCTCACCATTATTGGCTCCAATGATGTTTAAGTACATAATGTAGAACATCTTCAGAAAAAAAAATAATCTAGTGAAACAATTCTGTTCTATAGAGAACTTGTGTACAAAACAGCAAATGATAAACAACAATTTAAAACAATAAACAATGGGAGGAAAAAATAGAAAAACTTGCTTGCTGTGTCACTGGTATTGGCACCCTTTGCTGTAAATCCGTATGGAAACACATTGTTACTCACTCACCTGTGGTAAATCACAAATTAGAATCACCTGTGATAGATTTTCTGTGCCCATGTGACATGAATTAGCCAGTGAACGATGACTTCCACGTTTTAAAAAGCCATCTGTTATCCTCTGTTCCTTTGTCACAATGGTGAAGACAAAGGAGTTGTCTGAGGACATCAGAACTGCGATAATTAGCAAACAAAAGAGCTCCAAAGGGTATGAGGCCATCTCCAAAGAGCTTGATATCCCTGTTTCAACAGTGCGTAATGTTATTAAGAAGTTTGCCAAGTATGGTACTGTGAAGAACCTCCCTGGTCGTGGGGGGGAAGAGAAAAATTGATGAGAGAAGTCTGCGAAGGTTGGTGCGAATGGTGGACAAAACATGTCAAACATCCAAAGAACTGAAGTCCAACCTGGAACAGTCTGGGGTCATGGTTTCAACAAGTACCATACGCTGCACACTAAACCAAACAGGGCTTTGTGGGTGAAGGCCAAGGAAGACACCATTGCTGAGGAAAAGACATAAAAAGGAACGACTAATCTTTGTTAAAGAGTACCTGGACAAACCACAATCCTTCTGGGAAAATATTCTGTGGACAGATGAAACAAAAATAGAGCTTTTTGGCAATGCACACCAACAGTTTGTTAAGACGGCACAATGAAGCCTACAAGGAAAAGAACACCCTACCAACAGTTAAGAATAATGGAGGATCCATAATGCTGTGGGGCTGCTTTGCTGCATCTAGTACCGGAGGCCTTGACCGTATCATAGGAATCATGAAATCAGAGAATTATCAAGAGATTTTGTGAAAGGTGTGAGTGAAATGTCCTACCCAGTGTAAGAAAACTTGGTTTGAGTCAAAGATCACGGGTCCTCCAGCAAGACAAAGACCCAAAGCTAAAAATGGACTGTTTTAAAATCGTCAGCAGTGAGTCCTGATCTCAATCCCATTGAAAATCTTTGGTATGAGCCGAAATCTGCCATTGGGGAAAAGAAACCTGCAAACGTTCAAGAGCTTGAACAATTTGCAAATAAAGAGTGGGAGAAAATACCATCTTTGAAGTGCAAGAAGGGTATAGATACAAGAAACGTTTGGAGGCTGTCATCACTGCCAACGGGTGTGCAACCAAATATTAAAGAAGGGTGCCATTATTGCTGTTTTTTTCCGTTTCTTCTTTGAAATTACAATATGTAAGTTGAAAAAAAAATTGTCTTTATTAAATTACGTTGGACCTCCAATTAAAAGATCCTGATGATAAATTTTGGTACATTTCTATTTATTTCTGAAGATATTGTAGAGGTTATGCAAAAACTGAAGGGGTGCCAATAATGGTGAGCAGGACTGTATAAAACCCGTTAAAGAATCAGAAATACTTAATTAAAGGGATCAGGATCCCTAGGATCAAGTTTTCAGTGGCCTCTAGGGTGAGGTTTCAGACCATTATGTTTCCAAGTGTGTGGTCCTACGCATGCTCAAAAGTAACGAATGAGCCAAAACCAAGACCTACACAACGGAGACAACTTCACATAAAATGCCGGAAATTCAGGTAAACTCCCACTGGAACATTACAGTCAGCTTGACATTGAACTAATCCATGCGGTTCTGAGGCCGGTCGGATGTGCTGCCAAATTCTCTGAAACGCCTTTGGAGATGGCTTATGGTAGAGAAATGAACATTCCTGGGCAACAGCTCTGGTGGACATTCCTGCAGTAAGCATGCCAATTGACAACAGATTTTGACAGATTTGTGAACAATATTTGAGAGAAATAGGCCTTTTGTGTACAAAGAGAAAGTCTTAGATCTTTGAGTTCAGCTCATGATGAATGAGGGCAAAAGCAAAAGTCTTGCGTTTATAATTGTGTTCAGTGTACATTTGTTTCAGTTCTTTTATTTGAGATAAGTTATTATGTCAAATTTATGTAACTTATCAGTAAATTAATTTCTAAATGCTTCTTAATCATTCAATTTAAATCTCATCACTGCTCACTCTTAATCATGCTTAATCCTTCAGCTTAAAACTCCTCATCAGACTGCTCACTTTCTACAATCACGCTCTTTGCACACTCCAGGAAATCTGGTTTTGACAGAGTCCTGGTGCCACAGCATCACAGCTTTTGTGGGATCAGCATTTTTTATACAATCTCTGGATCGTATTCCTTGATCTCTGGGGAGGACAGCTGGACCATAAGAAGATCTGACAGTGTATCAGACACTACACTGGACCACCAACATTTTTTTTAATGTTCCGCTTCATCCTCCTTTCCATCTGCATTTGTTTGGTTACTACACCTGGTAAATGTCGCCACATTTAGCTAAATGCTAAAAATACTCCAAGCACAGCTTTTGTAGCTTCAAACACAAGCAGCTTTAACACTGCCTTATTTCCTGGGAGTATTACGCCGATATGCTGGCTCGCTCTGCTGTGTGAAAGGTACGGAGCTGGAGAGGGGGTGTCCGATTGGATCCGCCTCTGCTGAGAATGTTAGAAACAGAGACGGAATGATGTCTGTGTGATAAACCACAGCTGGCATGCCTGGTTCCGGTAAAGCGGACTGCTTTGTGAAAACACAGGGATTATGCCGCAGAATGAATGTCCAGTATGAATGAGCGAATGTGGGATATTGGTGGATACTCTTTCTGCAGCTACACTCTCTCCTCTTTCCCTCCAGACTCCTGTCCCACAACACCCCCCCTTACAAATCAAACACAAGTAACATGAAACAAACACAAACAACAACCAATGAACCCCCCTAATCCGTGTGTTACACAATTTTAGATCTCTTAGTATAGTGGGGACCAATTTAAGTGCAACACACAACAAACACGAACACCAGGCAGCTGTTAGTAACCGTCAAATACATATGTACAATATCATACCTTCCAACTTTTAGCATTTGGCACTTTGCACCCTGCACAATGGGTTTCAGCACATCAACACAAAATCTGACCCAATTTCTTCACATAGGAAACAGCATGAAGGTTGTTAAAGGCAACCAAGATAGCAGGCGAATGGTTTATTTTTATGTGAGGTTACAAACCTTGAAAGTGATTAATTTTATTAAACAAACTACACATAGGAGCTTTAGCTATAGTAACATTTTATTCTTCATTTCTACTTTCTTCCTGTCCACCATTCTACTGTTTGTTGCTTAAAACCAAAATTGGACCGTTTTTGGAATTTGGTTTTCTGTTTTCATTTTGAAACAAATAACAAATACACAATGTGACTTCCATTTTTGGTTTCAGATGAAATTACAAATTAACTGAAATACACAGACCTCTTTGTTCTTCTATTCAAAAAAGAATAATCATAAAAGGGTTTTGGATTCAGATGTGTCTTATTTTAAATTTTAAATTGCAAATAAAATACAAATTATCCAGTGATACCCAGACCCTCTTGGGTCATGCCCACACATAAAATATTATGTGTTTGGATGATTTCAATTACATAATTAAGTCCTGGATTGCCATACTGATGCAGCCTGTCAAAACCTAGTCTTGCAGGAAATAGGATGAAGAATTGATTTGACCTGAATGTAATTTGGTTTTACTCATGCTGACCTTCTAACATCTGACAGATAGAAAAAATATACTGTCAGTGTCATGTTGATTCAGTGAGGAGAGGATCGAAATCTTGTTTGCCAAAATGAAAGAGGAGAGGAAGGGTCGACAAATACATTGCATGATTTAATGCAGCGTTTGAGACCGCTCGGTACTGTGATTTTTCCCAGTTGAAACTTCTGACTTCCGACCTCAAAATGTTCCAGGTACATGGTGGTGCATGACACCGAAAGTGAACAAAACAAAAGGCTGACCGAGACAAAGTGTACACACAGTTGCACCCTCAGCAGTGTTTTAGGTGTTACTTCAAAGGATGGTAGTTTAACTGCAACAACTGACATAAATAGCCCATACTGTACGTTACTAGTTAACTTTGTACCCCTCATGCTACATCAGTTGGTAACCCTCAAGTCAGTCAATGTTGTAGATTACACTTCCTAATGTTTTGGCATTTTTAACAATAACTTTTATGCAGAGAAGATGACTTTGAGATTCTTTACTGAAGCCAGCTACCTAATAGGCCTAACATATTTCTACATCAATGCAGAACAGGTTTAACTATATGATCGAATATGTATTATTTTAATTTAAATACATGCAAATATACTTTTTATTGCCTTTTAGTTTAACAACAACAATTCAATCAACAACCAACAAAGGGGAGTCAGACTTGGTGTTGGCTGTGGTCTGTACATTTAAGATAGCTTGGCTCTAGGGTTGGTAGTTGGCCTTTTGGTCTCTCACCAAGACATGAAAGTGAAGTGAAATACAGAACCAGCTGTACTTTGTGTTTAGTGCTAATTAGAAACAACACTGATATGCTAACAAGTTACCTTAAGATGAACATTGGAAACATTATATCTGCTAAACATCAGCATGTTATCATTATCACTGTGTGAAGGTTAGCATGCAAATGTTAGCATTTAGTGCAAAGTGCCACTGCACTGTAAAAATGAAAAGGCTCTGAAAACTCAAAATTTCAAGGCAACCAACAACTTTGAGTTTTGAGACCAACACAGTAGTTGTGCCAACTAATTATGTTTTGTTCAGATAACTTATCTTTAATTTGTAGAAAAACTTAATTTTGAGTTATATGTACTATATATTCCCATCAAGAAAGTCATGCCAACTAAATATCTTTTATTCAGATCATTTATATTTCAAAGTAACTGCACTGAGGGCGGCACCCACCATCCAAAGACATGCAGACTAGGTTAATTGGTGACCCTAAAGTGTCCTTGAGTGTGAGTGGTTGTGAGTGGCCCTGCGATAGACTGGCGACCTGTCCTGGGTGTACCCCGCCTTTCGCCCAGTGTAAGCTGGGATTGGCTCCAGCCCCCCGTGACCCTGTACGCAGGATAAGTGGTTGACGATGGATGGATTGAAAGTAACTGCACTAGATTTGAGTTTTAAGTCAACTCGAATTCCTAAGTTTTGAAAAAAAAAAAACATCAAAAGTTGTACCAACTAATTATTTTTGTAAAGATAACAAACAAAGCCACTTCAATTTCCATGTTTATTTTCAACAAACATTAAATAAACACATGACTGTATCATTAAAGTTGGAATCATGCGAGTCCAGCGTAAGCTTTTAGAACAGTGTACATGTACATCTGACAACCAATTTTAACATTCATCACCATCAAAAAGAGATGCTATTTTATGTTCCAGAGTCTCAGCTTCTACATACTCTTCCCCACCATTGTTACTTGAACCACTTTGTGCATCTACCTCAAAAAAAGGTTGGTGTCTTCTTACAGTCCTGCAATGTGATCTGGTAAGGTGTGATTTTAATGCGACACAGGGCCAGTGAGCTCTTCTTCCGTGTCATAGTCTACGGCTCAATAGATCTTGTTGACTTGAACTGAAAAACTGCAGAACCAACACTTCATAGGATAACTGCAAGGGCAATGTGAAATAAAAAGCAAATTAGTTATTTACTTTTAATGGATCTATAAAACAAAATATTTGTACACACTATCAGTGTACTGTGCACGACCACCCTGCCTTCTATTCAGGCTGTGTATAGGGCTGGGCGATATGGCCAAAAATGTTATAACGATAAAAACATTTCATGTCATTTGATAATTATCAAAATATATGTTAAATCATTATTTCTTTCAAGTTTAAAGGCAGATTTTTGCTCCTGAAAGAAAATTTGAAGAAACCAGATGGTTAATTATGTGGTTAAACTTTTCTTTATGGTCAGAATGTGACATTCAAACACTTGATGCCAAACAGTGGATTACTTCACAAGTCTGAGTTAGAACATTTGAAACTATTATCTTTTTCAACAAATATGATTAGTTAATCTTTTTTCAGGCCTCTTTTTTCAGCAAAAATTGGGTGCTAATTTGTTTGTGATTCAAATGAATTAAAGCAAATATTTATTGAAGATATATTGAACATTTATTATATTGTTATTGAGGGAAATTATATAGTGATAATTAGCATTATTGTTTTATTGCCCAGCCCTATAGATGGTATATACTGTATTTCCTTAAATTGTGATTGAAATTTAAACTCAAAACAAACACACACCTTATCTTCTCTATTGAGTAGCACGTTCGCATGCACTGTATTTACCATCTCTCACACTTACTGGCTACTGGCTCTACTGGCTAATTCAATAAATCTTTTGTGTACATCAACTTACAGTCTGCTAGCTGTCTGCTCTGTGTGTGTCATGAAAAAAAAATATTAAAAATGATTTAAATGGTAATTTTGGAGGCTGTAATTAGTAGTGCTAACTATTCTGGGATAGAGATTTCATGTGTTTCCCTTTCCTGATCCCCCATTTGCAGTGTAGCTAAGGTTAGCTACAGCAAAGTCAGTGTTGGTAATGACCGGAATACAACCAGAAAGCGGTAGTTTGTCACCATTATGCTCGCTCACAGGGTGTTCAGCGGATATAACCAGCATATTCCATATAGACAAGGAATTTATCAAACCCAGTAAGTTTATGTTTAACATGCTAACATTAGCTGACTACTTAGTTAGCTGGCAAGCTAAAGTGTAGAATCAAGCACACAATTAAATAAACAATTAAACATGTGACTACTGCAAAGCGAGACTTTCAGTACTATATTCAAACAAAATACTCACCTTTTTGACTTCAGGTTCTCTTGAAGAAACAGAGAGGAAGAGGGAGGGGGATGGAAGGAGAGAGAGAGGGGAGGGAGGCAGCCTATACAATATACACACAGACGTACAGACAGTAAAGGTAATAAAAAAAGTTAGTTTAAGAAACTATTGTATTGTATTTTGTTCAGTTTACTTAAAACTCTAATCAAGATGAGCAATTTCAAGTTCTCATTTTTACAGTGTGTGCCAAAGTACAGATTCACACATGGCTGTAAGAACAGTTAAAACTGAACCGCTTTCGTCACCAGAGACATGATGCATGCAAAACCCTCTAAATGCATTAAAAGATATGCTCAGAAAGTATTCAGTTCATACAAATGCATACATTTACAAACAAAGCTAGACTAAAAAAAAAGACAAAATCTCTGAGTAAGAGATTTCAGTCCATTGTGTAAATAGAGGACTAAATCTGTGAATCAATGTGTCATGGTGCACAGGTGGCATAAACGTACAGGTTATTGTGACTGACCTGGTAATTTCATGGCTATTGGTCTGCAGCACGACTGGGATGCAGCAGGAGATAGGCTGAAATGAGGAGGAATATCTTAATAGTTTATGCTAGAGGCTGGTGTCATTCACCTCTTTTGCTTCTCATTCCAAGCAGTTTGGTCTCCACCACAGAGCTCTGACAGTTGTGCAGGAGAGGACAGTCCAGAGTGGATCGAAGCTTTCCCCAAGAGATAAGCAACATCCTTCTGCTGGAGGAACAGAATTCCCATGATTGGACACCTTCTATAATTTGATTATTTTTGGAGGCATTTTTGGTTAGTATGTTGCTGGGGTCACTGAGGAACTGGGTAGGACACAATTCACTGCAGACATCTGCAGAAAATACAGGAGAAGGGGAACATCTTCCAGAAACTTCTTAATATCTATAGAAACCACAATCATAACCCCCCCACATAGCGTATAAGCCTACTGACATTTCACACAGTAACATGCAATGCTTGAAAATGATATGATATTGTCTTGATGTCCTGTGCACAACAAGAAGAAGACCAGACGCTATTATTAATCAAAAGGTTCTGCAGTCACCCTTGGGACAATGAATTCACAGAATGTTTTTAGGAAAATCAAGTCTTAAGAGTTGTCATGGTGTTTGTGAAGGGGTACTTTTGACTTAACACTGAAAATAATTATATGAAATTTCATAGCCATTTGGCCAAGATTTGTCAATATCTTTCTCTGGATCAACTGTTGGGCAGACAGATATATATGGCTTTTTGATCCCTTATTTAATCCCAGTATCACATCTAAAAATTGCTACTGTATCTTTTTTTTTTTAAGTGAGCCTTAGTCAAAATGGCAACCCATCATACAAGAGACACATGATGTTCTGGGTACTTGCCATCAACACAGAACAAGCCTGCATCAAGGTAATAGCCTGCAGTGCAATAAATATGACAGCGGTGAAGAGCTGTGAAGAGAGAGGCAGAAAATACTTGAGTGTCAAAGATGTGAATTGTATGATTTTCGGTGCTATGTGAATTGGACTTAGTAAATTATGGCATCAGTACTCGGGAAAAAAAGCCCTCTGTCTGTTCCTTTTCCAATACCTGTCCAATTGAGACATGATGTCTGATTCTCTGTGTGTGAATTTGCAGTGACGTTCTACCACGTCATGATATTTATTAGTTGTATAAATGTTATCTATATAGCCTGGTAATGGTTGACTGATATTGCTATCCATTGAGCCATGCTATAGCATGGCTAAAAATGCAATACATTTGACTGCATATCAAGTTGACTCTGCTTGGAATTATGGAGTCTGTTCACATCTGGAAGGCACAGGTCGTTTAGAGAAACTTACTTTTTGATTCAATACAGCCATATAGGGTTGAAGCCCATGGACATGCAAGTCTTTTGAGAATCTTACTGAGTGAGTGATTGCCTTGCTCGAGACTGTAGCCCTGCAGGGAACTCTTCCCTCAAAAAGAAAAAAAGAACCACATACAAAAATCAACATTTTGTTGGAACGATTTTTAAATGTAATCTGCAGGCTTTGGAGCATTCAATTCAAGTTCAGCCCTTATAGCTCAAGATTGCTAATGGCAAGCTTGGCAGTAATGGCAGTAATGGCAGTAATAGACAAATAATAATAACAATTATAATTTTTTTGTATAGCACTTTTCATGCTAGGAGCGCAAAGTGCTTTCTAAGACGATCACAAATTTAAGATGAAAAACACAAGAACAGCACAATATAAGCACACAATTAAAATTATTTAATTTTAAATTATAAAACATTTTACAAAAAATCATCCAATAGAAGGAAGTACAAACAACTATTATAATAAATAAAGTGGAAAAACAGAGCTGTATTATGTAAACAAGTCAGAAAATTTGTCTTAAGACAGGATTTAAAAGCAGACACTGCAGCTTAAATGTTCCACCGCTGAGGTGCCATTACAACAAACGCTTGATCTTAACCTGGACACTTGAACAGTTAACAGGCCTGAACTAGCAGATCTGAGAGGCCTTTTTTAGCAGCAGGGAGTTAAGAGTTCATTGATGTTTGCTGGTGCCTAACTGTGTAAGGCCTTGGAATTCATGAGACTTTTTTTTAGTGGATTCTAAAAGGAATTGGTACCCAGTACAGCAACGCTAACACTGGGGTGAAGTGAGAAGGTCTGGCTGGCTGCAGAGTTCTGCACAATTTGGAGTTGAGCTACATCTCAGGGCACAGAGACAGATAAAGAAGGCGTTACAATAAAGCAGGCATGAGGAAACAAAAGCATGAATACTTTTCTCTGTATTGCTAAAACATAACATTGCTCCGATTTTGGAAATATTTCTGAGTTTGGTAGAAACATTTTGTACCATTTGTTGTGTGTTTTGCTCAAAGATTAGCTCACTGTGGAAGATAATACCCAGGTTCTTAGCAGTGCCCTTAATGTTAAGCGGACTGAGGAGTGGCTTGACTTGATTACAGAGGTGCTCAGGGCTGTTGATAAGCACTTCTGTTTTGTCAGAGTTTAACTGTAAAATGTTTTGTGACATCCAGTCCCTCACTTCAGCTGTGCAGTTCTGTAGTGTGGCCAGCTTGTTGCATTCATGCGTGTCGTCTGCATAACAGTGAAATGAGATGTTACTGTGAAGAATAATATGACCCAATGGCAGCACATATAGAAAGATCAGAATTGGTCCACTTGAATTGATGCTTGAGGTATGCCACATGTTGTCTGTGCAGTTGGAGAGATAAATGAATCAACTGAGACATAAAATGTTCTATTTGACAGATAGCAGGACAACCACTCCAGGGCCATTCCAGAAATATCACCCAATCTTTAAGTGTATTAATTACTGTAGCGTCATCAATGGTGTCAAATGCAGCATGAAGGTCAAGCAGCACTCGTGCAGGGCAATGTCCAGAGTCTGCCTCCATTAATAAATAATTTGTCACCCACAGAAGAGCTGTTTCAGTCCTATGTAGCTTCTAAAAAGCTTTTGTTTTCAAGTGCCAGTGCCAGTTTTTCTAAAACCAGTTTCTCAAGACTAGGCCCTTTTAGCGGTGGCAAATTCAGGCTATTTTCAAATAATCTGGAACACATCCAGAACAAAGGGAGCTGTTTGGAGCAGACTATGGCTTGTTTCCCCAATTACTTCTGTGAACTATTTAGCAGGAATGACATCCAGATGACTGTATGAGGGTTTCATGTGGGACACAGTTTTTTGTTGTTGTTGCTGTTGTTGTAACAGTCAGTAGCATATGAAGCAGGGCTAGAAGTGGGAGGTTTGACAAGACAATTAATAGTTGCAAATAAAAATCTGAAATTGTGATGGTTGGTGGTTTGTGACTTGGATTTTTCTTGGCCTCCATTTGCGTCCCTTACTCCTGCATGCCAATTTTTTTTTTTTGTTTTTTTTAGGGGTAGGAATGACATAATTGATCCATGGGAAAGAATTGACAATTCTTTTTTTTTGGTTGTAAGTGCGGAGACCAGTGTCCAGCCTGTAGTCAATTTCAATAGCTGGGTTTAAATCAGTAGAGGGCAGTTGCCATGTATATTTATAACACACTATGTAGAATTCAAATCCTGTGCACTAAATTGCCAGATTTGTACCTGATACTAAATACCCATATACACTGGTTTTTAGCTGTACAAAGTGGTTTGGGGGTTTAGTTACTCTTTAAGTAAAGTGGCGCTACAGTGTACAGTGTCCTGTAAACTGTAGTGTACTCCACTGTGTATTGTAAATGATAACATACTCACAATGAAGATGCTAACATGCTCATGTTAAGCAGGCATAATGTTAATCATCTTAGTTTAGCATGTAAGCATGCTAACATTTGCAAATTCGCAAACACAAAGTAGAGCTGAGGTTGATGGGGATGTCATTAGTTTTGCAGGTGTTGTTATAAACCAAAGCACAGAACAAATTGAAATTTTGATCTGATGCTGCTCGATGAAAAGTCAGAGTATCACAGACGATCACATTTCATCCTGACATTAACCTCTTGCTGGCACTAGAGGAAAACTCAGGGAAACAACAAAGTCACCAGAATTCCTTCCCTGGAACTAGGAGTAATCAACACTTAGTCAGAGTCAGGTGCACCAGCTCACTGTAAAAATTCAAGCCAGCTAGATTATCCTATACCTCAAACCAGACACTTAGGAATGGGTGGTTATCATTGTGGCTTTTGCAGACATTTTGCAGATGTAGTTTCTCCCCACACCAGTTTGGCTCCACCCACTAAAACATTTGTTCAACATCATTTGCATGCCAAAACACTTTTGAGTCTGCCAAAGCTATTATCTGCAGCACACCTGTCCTTGCGGCTCTGGACTTTGCACATCCCTTCAAGCTAGTGGTAGATGCTGGTGCCAGTGGTCCCAGCGTTGTGTTAGTAAGCATCAAGTGAAGTACAGCACCACTGAAAAAGAAGCCCTCTCCCTGCTGCTTGTGCTGCAACACTTTGAAGTTTATGTTGGTTCAAGTTCGTTGCCCCTTGCAAAGTACACAGATCACAACCCTCTTGTTTTTTTGGCACAGATGCAATACACAAACTATCTAGCTTTCTTTTCTGTGGTTTATGCGAGAGTGTGTGCTTTGTGAGTGTCAGTATATAGACGTGTCTCTTTCTGACTGGCTGGTTTCATGGGTTTGGCCTGGGCCTTGACCTGAGTGACTCCAGCTGAGTGGTTCATTCCCAACATCATGGTTTTCAAAAGTTTACAGCAGCACCTTGGTTCTGTCCCCAGTGTCCTAACCCTTTTGTAGTTGCTTTGTGTGTTAGATCTTTGAGATGTTGTTAGGCCTAAAGCCCTAGGTAGTTAGTTGGAAGTATCTGTGTTTTGTAAACAGAATAATCCACATTGTGTAAATGCACTGAAGCTGCAGCAGTGAGATTTCCCCCTTTCTCCTCCTGTTTTACTTTCTCCCAGGGAGTCATGTGTAGTAAATGTCTTTTTGTTTGTCTGTTAGTTAGGTTAGTCAGCATGTTTAGAGGAGATACACACTTCTGTCTGTTTTGACATTGGTTCAGCCTAAATTATATTTCTTCAGTTTACTGTCATAATTTTACTTATTGTAGTAATACATTATTTCACTTAATGGAAATTCAATGTCCAGACCTTGGTTTGGAGACTAGGGAGGGAACAACCCTTTAACATTTATGTTTCGCCCCCATCCAGATGGATGGGGGCGAAACAGGTGCCAGAGTAAAATGTCAGATGGCCAAAGATATTAGGATTTATCCTCTGGGGAAGAGGAATGTCTGTACAAAAGTTCATTGCAAGCCATCCATTGTTACAGATATACAGATATATCAGTCTGGACCAGTACCAGCAGACACACAACCAACCGACAGACTGATATTGCTATCCATTGAGCCATGCTATAGCATGGCTAAAAATGCAATACATTTGACTGCATATCAAGTTGACATTTGTTTTTGACTAACAGTAATTTCAAATCTGAATATATCAAATTGTATTTATATTAAATTTTATGATTATGATTATTATGATTATTATTAGTAGTAGTAGCAGTAGTATATCAAGCAGCAGCAAAACATGCCACAAAGATGCTCTACTCAACAATCACATAGTGAAGGGGAGTGAGTTAAGGTTTCAACATTTTACTCTCCAGTCTGTTAGTGCTGTCAAGAGTCCAATAGCAAGCCTAGAACTAGCCCCCTTAATAAGCTCATTCCTCCTCTCACAGTGCTCTTCGGGGTTGACCCCTGCAAAGGCAGACATGAAAAATGGCGCCAGAAACAAGTCTCTGGTAAAACATATAAAGCTTGGTATTGTAAACATTTATAACAGTGCCGACTCCTGAGGGCAATGACTGGGGCCGATTATAAATTTAGAGTTGTGGTTCAGTCCTTCTTACTGTGCACAGTGTAGGCTCATTTTCTGTATCCTTGTCATTAAATGTTGTAAAGGCACATTATCAGTAAAAATAATCTTCATTGCAAAAATAATAGTCATTGTATTATATTAGTAAGCTTACTTACAATATTTTTTATGAGTCAGGTCATTGTTATTGATTTATTGCATCACAGGATATGAGACAGTACAGGACTTTTACTGTGAGCATTCTGAAGCATGTTACATTACTGCAATTGTTCTTGTTCACATCCTTTGAAGCAGCTGATCTCCAGTCCAGACGGTGAGTCCACAAGAGGGGGCAGTGAGTGGGAACAAGGACATTCAAACAGTTTGGAATGATTTACACTCCACATTCAGTAGTATTTGAAGATTACATCTATTCCAGATGAATGACATCACTGCTACTACCACTACTAAAATAATTTTATTACAACCTCTATATAATTATAACATTTATTAATATTATCTGTTTTTTTATTATTTCTTGTGTTCCTGTCTGAATTCGTTCATTCATTCTCCTGCTTGTGTTCTGTTTGTTATTCCCTGCAAAGAAATTATGAGCAAATTCAATCAGATCAAAGGTATTTAGGCATGGTAATCCTGTTGGCTTCCCCATGCGGTCTGAATCGGATGGAATGAATAACTTACCTGGGCTCATCCATAAACATAATTGCAGAGATTGCCTATTGGACCAGCTGCTCGCTCCATAAGATGGTGTGCAGAAAGAGAGCACAGAGCCGCTGAGGGAGAGAGGACGGAGCAGAGAGCTCAGATATGTGTGTGAGCAGTTAGAGGAAAGACTTGTTCTGGCGCTGCAAAGCGCGTAAGAGGCGCGTTTTCGTTTTTACGCACAGTGCAGTGAGACAGATTAATAGATAGATTGTTCTAAAATGTCCTAGTAGAATACGGTATTCCTGAACTTATTATTGTCAAGACAGCGGAGTCTTTCAGTGAACATTCCTCAGACTACACTTCCTACAGAGCGTGCGGGGGGGAAGCATTTCTGAAACTTCTGATTGTTCACTTTGCATTTGGCACCGGGATCTTGAACTTGGTTGTGTGATGAAACAGGTCAATAGCCAGTGGTTTTAGTGTTACTTTCTTAAACAGCAACATGGATCCTTTATTTAATACCACCGACGTGCCAAATTGGACCACCGGATCGAACGACACCAATAACGGCACAGTGTACTGGAACCAGTTTGTGCAGCCAATCTGGAGAATTGTCCTCTGGTCCATTGCGTATAGTTCTATAGTTATCGTGTCCGTGGTAGGAAATCTCACAGTGATCTGGATCATTATGGCTCACAAACGCATGAGGACCGTCACCAACTATTTTCTGCTGAACCTGGCGTTCGCTGAAGCCTCCATGTCCGCCTTCAACACGGTGATCAACTTCACCTACGCCGTGCACAATGAGTGGTACTTCGGACTGGTCTACTGCCGCTTCCACAACTTCTTTCCGATCGCGGCTGTCTTTGCCAGCATCTATTCTATGACTGCCATCGCTCTGGACAGGTAAGCTGCGGGTACATGAGAAATGGCAGAAGACTGGCCAGTCATCCTGTATTGAAAAATTCCATAAAACCTTCGGATCGTGTAGTCTAATCCATTAAATTCACCTTGCAATTAATCTGAAAGAATTTAAGAATCTCAAACTATTATTAATTAATGACTGATTATTTAAAATGGCAAACTAGATACATTTTATGACCATATTGGTGATGGATAAAAACAAAACTGATGTGATCATAGACTCGTTTTAGAATTGTCATTTGCCCACTTAATATTCATAGTTTAGGGGAAAAAAAATACTGACACCTAAGAAGATTTTGGTGTATCCTTAATTCGCTGTAGGTATTTGGGTTGAATATTTGAATGAAAAGGGTTTCCAAAAAATGTATTTGAAACCTCTATTTTAAAATGCATCCCTTTTACTTGCCTATTTATATATTCATGTTCATATTCATGAAACTTTCAGACAGTTCTAGACGAAAATCAGAAATCACAAACTGTCTCAAAGGGCTTTTTAATCTGTAGCTACAGCATACAACACCCTCTATCCTTAGACTCTCAGATAGGGTAAAACATCCAAAAAGCATTGATGCAACAAAACACTTAATTCACACACAGTGACCTATAAATCACCAATGGCAGGTAGCATTACAATGTATCACTATCTTTGAAATATCTTTGATTTATTGATTCCCATAACATTACAACAAAAAGAAGGGCACTCCTTTAAAGAGCTCTCTTCTCTTCATCATGGGACCCGTTCTTATTTTCACATGGAGGAAGTTCTTAATGGTTCATAGCCTTCTGGATCAAGTCCTATAAAAATAAAGCCTTTGCTAATAATTGTCCATACTGTATGCTATGTAAGGTTTGAAACTGTATACTGTAGTGACCCTGCTGAGAAAACATGGGGTTTGGGAGATGTATATCTTTATACAGAAGGCTTCTTTTCCTCTCAATAAACATTGTGTAGGAACCATATTCATCAATGGGACGGCTCCTTATGACAATATGGTTGAATGGAAATGGGATGCATGAAAAGCCCTGCGCTGTTGTGTGCATGTGAGTATGTGCGTATGGGTGTGTGTCATTGCATATTCACGACTTGCTGCTAGTGCATCTGTGTCTGTGTCTGTACGGTTGTATGAGTGCATGTGTGTATGTGTGTGTCTATGCACATTTGTACCGTACAATGTGTGTATGTGTGTGTGTATGTCTGTGCACATTTGTACCGTACAATGTGTGTATGTGTGTGTGTGTGTATGTCTATGCACATTTGTACCGTACAATGTGTGTATGTGTGTGTGTGTATGTCTATGCACATTTGTACCGTACAATGTGTGTATGTGTGTGTGTGTATGTCTATGCACATTTGTACCGTACAATGTGTGTTTGTGTTTGTGTGTTTGTGGGTGAGTGGGGGATATGTGGTGTACGGTGTCTTTTATACCACTCCATCTCAGATGATAATGGCCTGTAATTCCTTTGTATTCCTCCGACCTTTTCCAAAGTTAAACCTTTTAGCGCTAGAGGAAGTGAGAACGAAAAGGCAAATTAAAATGGCAACAGGCCACACACACCATGTGAACTCATTCTGCTAGTTGCTAGTTTTCCATTAAGGCAAATTTTACATTCAGGAGATTTAGAAATAGGGTTATTATCCCCTGACCCCTGTCCATGCAACACAAAAATGTTATTATAAACCCAGAAGAGAAGACTTAAATGACAGCATGTGGCTGTGTTAGGAAAAGGTGTTTCAGAATAGTGATAGTAGTGAAGGTGAGGAAGAGTTTCACCTACTGTGGCCCACCACTCTCAGCCATCTCTCACTGCTGTTTAGGCACCACTTAAATTTTAACTTCTAAATTTCCATTCACCTCTTCTTGTATGAGCTGAAGAGTTCCAATTAGTTGCTAGACATTAAATAATTTTTGGCAAATAGAGCAAATCTGCTGGAAATCCTCGGAGGGGATGACGTACTGTGTTGCAGCTGATAAGACATTTTGTTTCATCTCCATCCTTGCTGCATTCCTGTGGCGTTCTTGTAATGCACAACCCATAGATCATCCAGCGTTCTGGCTGCAATACTGACTGTTTTGAGGTAGTTGAGAAAAACTTCAGCTTTACAGATATATGTACCTGAACTGCATCCACGCTCATAAAGTGACAGTACTTGTTTAAAATTGCTGATATATGTATTGGGGAAAAGACGAAAATGAATGGAACAACAAAATCAAAAAGTTTGGCTTCAGTAATTAAGCTAATCATGTCTTTCAGTATCAGGGTGATTGTGGCTCACTGGCCTCAGGAGTCTGTTGCACCAGCTGTTTGTTTTATGTTCAAATTAGTATAGTTTTACAAAGTGTTTCCAAAGAGGAGATTCAAACATCACTAAATTAATGCTGTCAAATGTTAACGTCATCATGCTAACAAGCTTACAAGGACAATGCTGATGATTAGCCTGTAAGGTTTCATTTACCATATTCACCAACTTATGTTAGTGTGTTAGCAGGCTAAAATTCACTAATTAGCACTAAACCCAAGAGTCCAGAACAACACAACAGTTGTCAAGACATTTGGGTTTTCAAAGTATGTGGTGGGCCTTCCTAGGGGGGCTCCAAACAGTTTCATGGGAGGCTCAGTGAATGGAAGTGAAACAATATTACATTACTTATTGCATTAGTTATCAAAAGGAGATCACATAGAATAGCCTACATGTGTGAGAGTTCAGAGATACAGTAGTTTTTGGAAAATGTTTTCCCCCCTTCAGATTTAGAAACTAAGGGTCTGGCCTGCGGACAGCAATATTAGGCTATTTTGGCTCAAATGTTAAAAGTCTATGGGATCAAATAATATAATCATGATCCCACCCAGGAATTGAGCGTAATCTACCAAGTAAACTAACGATGTCATTATTTACCAATCCCAAATCATTTTTAAATAATGTGTGTTGAGAAATAAGTGTGTTTCAGAGTTAGTATCATTCATGTGGCTTAGAGTGATTAGGAATGTCTGATTACAGTCATCAATTGTAATGTAGTTAAGAACTCTTAGCGTTTTGTAATTTGAAGTATTTTGTTTTATTTAGTAATATATGTTTCATTGTTAAACCTCTATTTGATCAAGTGTGAGGTCAGATGTGTGAACTATATTTACTTTTCAATCAAAATAGGTCATATATCAGCAAGCTAATGTGGGTTTTTCATTAATTAATTAGCTTAATTACATAGCTTAATTAGCTATGTAACAGTTACACCTGGCAGGTTAGTGTGTAAATATTTAGTAGCAACTAATCTCCATGTTATGTGGTGCCTAAGTACAACTTGACTGACCTCTTAGGTGAACCACTCTCCTGTGGTCCACAGACATGACTCAAGTGAAATGAAGGCTCTATATTGCGCTTACAAGATGTCTGAATGTAGCTGTCTAGAATGTATTGGTCCTGCGATAGATTGAAGTAGAGTAATTATATGGACATCGTGTAGGCTATCAGAAAACAATCTCATCTGTGCTGTTGCGGCAAAGTTTGATAATAGCAACGTTTCGATCCTACTTGGGTTTTCGTCATGTCAGAAGCCTGTCAGTGCCTGCAACAGACTTGTCAGCTCTTCAGTATATTTCTCCTTTTGCCTAAGGCTTCCAGAGATAGGCTCCAGCTCCTGGGGATTAGAGAGTATAGAGAATAAATTGATGGAATTTGTTTAATAGTTACAATCTATCAATGTGCTCAGTGCAGTGTGGAGGGTGTAACTGAATTAATTATTGTCTCATTTAGCATGTCTAATTTCTACTTAATTTAGTTCTGGTCTTATGTGTGGCTGCCGCTGATAGCTGTTCTTGGCCCATGTATAAATCACTCGTTAACACTTTACCTCATGTTCAGTTTTTACTGTCTGAACTGACAGTGAAATTACAGACACTGATAATTCAGAATGACCTGGTGGGGAGGTACACATGTGCAAATTTCACCTGCCCATTTGAGTAAAGCTACTCTTGATTGGACAGAATGTGTGAGACATCTGTGTGAGACATATTATATATTGCATATACTTAGCATATGCTCATTTGCATATGCTAAGTATATGCAGTACAGGCAAATTAGCATCATGTTATCTAACCTAATAACAGCAATGTTTGGACCAGTTAAAGGTTGACAACACTGCTGATCAGTATATCCAGAAGCCCCATTCCCATTTCTACCTTAACCTGTAAATGCGCTGGCAACTCTCCATACTGTCATTATGGGGACCAGGAGCTGGAACTAAATATCCTCCAGTTCAATTTGGTCCTGCAGTTTGCCAATTGAAGACCTTGTAAGGTTTTCATTAGTGAAATCTGAAGTGTGACAAGGCAGCAACAATCCTTGATAAGACACAGCAAGATTGTGATGCATGTGTGACCATCAAGGAGACCCAGACTCTTCTATTACACTGCAGATAAAGTGATCCCTAAATGAAAATCACATAGTAAGCCAGCCACATAATACTTTTAAAAGACCCATCAGATTCTAGCTCCTCTTTGAAGATATTTCTGTTTTGCTTACATGTCCCCAGCATTAGTAGCACCTGTTATTTAATTTCAAAGGTGCTTTGGTGGAGATAAAATGTATAAATTGCAGCAGTTTTGACAGCACAATAAAAGGGAAGGTTACTGTACAGCATACAACTACTGACACTTGTAGGATTTTAGAACGGTATGTTTTCAGCAAAAAAGACAACACCACTAATACACACTGACATTATCACAGCTACAGAAAGCAGCACCACACAGAGCCTGGCAGCCTGATATGGGAAGTCTAAAGTGCTAAATATGACAGCAGGGGGAATAAATTCAGACAGATGGAAAATGTCATGATTGATGAGCTCATACTGTACGGTCCGATCATTAAGCCACGGCCTGAGTGCTCATACTGTACGTGTATAAAACCGTAGAATTTTCTGACTATTGACAATAAAGCTTTGTTTGAAAGCTCCGAAGCAGTTATGAGCGGGTAGTCTGTTTGC